AATTACACTAAAAATGTCTTTAAAAAACAAGTAATAATAATAATAATAATAATCTCAGGACAATTCACACAGCGCCATCTAGACCCAAGTTCAGCTATCTAAAGCTTGTGTTATGGGTACTAGATAACTGATACAAATACATAGATAATTTTTTTTTCGTAAATACATACATATTATACATAGAAAACACCCAGACCGATACAAACAATCATACTCATGAATACAAATGTTTGTGCCGTGCGAGGAATCGAACCCGCGACCATCGGACATCAAGCGGTGTACTATACCGCTAGACCACCGAGGTCGTCAAGTACTTCAGTAAACATACAAATTTATAAATTTTATTTGATTTTCGCCATTTCGCCTTTAAGATAATCATGTTAAAATACTTTAGAAATCGTCCATAATTTTATTTTTTACTGCCTTGTGTGCCCTACGAAGACTGAATATTAGTAACGCGTTTACTTTAAGCAACCAAGTCAGAGAGTTCATGAACAGTTTCAAGCGTTCTCCCTTCTTGACTGGTAGTTCCAGAACATTCCAATTTAGTATTCAAACCGTCTAGTTTATCTCGAAGCTTATTTAATTTTTTTGCACTCAAATATGGTGCATAACTTAAAACTGGCCACTTTTTAAATTCGTTTTCTTTAGATTTTATAACGTTTTTATTAAATTTTGATTTTAGAATTACTGGCGTTCCTTTTTTGTTTTTCCTTCTCTTTTTTCTATCTCTCTCAGTTTGTAATATATTAGATTTATAATATTGATGGTTGGTAGTATTATTCGATACTGGTAATATCGATATTAATTTTGATCCTAGTCTGCTTTTCATTATATCATTTTTATTGTACTTTTTATTCTCATTATCCATCATTATGTTATTATTTTTATTTTGTGGTTTATGCTGTTCACTCTTATCTAGAAAGACATACTCGGCTGATATATCAGGAATGGATAAATATTTAGATTTTAATTCATTACTATGCCACAACGCATTACCTTCATTTGTATATTTGTGCATTAAAGCATTTTTAATTGATTTATTTTCACCACTCGAATGTTCCAGAAATCTACCATTGCCGAATAATTTCTGATATGGCAACATTACGATTATAAAGTTATCGTTTGGCGCGTTCTCGTCGGCTGCTTTCCTCAGCAACATATTTTCGTATAATGCGTACTTGTGATTGCCGTTGTGCATTTCTAAAGGCGTCATTTTATTTATGTGTTTAATGTAAGATGGCGACCGCAGTTCTCTCAGGCCGTGTGGTAGAATGTTTCTTCTAGCATCCACAATAGCTGAAATAAATTGTAATTGATTTTAGAATGTTGTTGCCTACTGTATTAATACTATTTTACATTATTTTGAAGGCAAAAGTATGTTGTTATTGTTGCCTACTTCTTTCCAACTTTCACCTAAGGGTTAGTTTTCAATCTGTTCGACACTAAAACTTTGTCAATTTGTACTTCTGACTAACATCAGAACGAAGAAATACATAATGGGTCTATCCATTACATTGTCATTTTGGATTCAAATATCTATACCGAATTTAATATGAGCATCTCATAGACAATTAATAATGCCTGTGATTAGAAGATTCAAATCAAATCTAATAAAAAAATTTTTGAGTAAAACTGGCAAATATTCAACTGGTGCCTATATTTTCGTGTTATTATCCTTTTTTTATTCCCCTTTTTAGGACAATTCACAAAGACAACGCAAAAGGCAAAGGTTTCTCTGGAAGTCATCGTGTTTCATTCCTAGTCAATTTGCCACATTGGGTTAACTCATCTCACTTTATGTTCATCCTTCACTGGTGTTCCTCCGTGCAGGCGGATGCGCCATTACAGAAGCATGTATTTAAGATAAGAATATGGCTAACCTATCTGGGAATTATTATGTCATCTACAAGTTCATTTGAAAAGAAATAGAGCTGAATTTCTTGTCAGTTCTCAAGCCGACAGCACTCGGAACTGATGATAGATTTGACATATCATAAGAATCTGTTACAGATCTACATAAATAAAGATATTTTTTATAGAATTAAAGGATATTGATTTATAAAGATTACTCACGTGTTAAATTAGTAAAAATCGTTACTAATATAGCAATATTTACAATGAATTTCATCATGTACCTGTATATATTAGGAATTATTATATTAAGTAATTAAAACAACCGCAATACAATTCTATATAAAGATACATTGATTAATTAGTAGTTTATTTATATTTTATTTACTTTATTTATTCATTTATTTCAGGCAACTAGGCCCATATTATAAATACCTTATAGACTAACATACATATAATATAATATTTAAAAACTAATACAATAATATTGTCTGTGTGATCACGGCACTGAAGACGGCAATCTGCCACGGTAGCGCCGATACACCATACCTTTCGGCCAGTAGTCCTCTTTCATGAAGGTGGGCAGCAAGTCGGTGGGGACCAGCTACACACGAGCTACTTCATTTGTACTTTTTTATGTCAATAGAATAGCAAACAGGTTGACGGCCCATTTAGTGGTAAATAGTAACCGTCGCCTATATACATGAACAGCACTACGGACATCACGTTATCATGTGACAATGATACCACTTATGCGTTATTTCGGAGGACTTAGATGTCGTGCCTCTTATCTTGTAACTTCACTGTAATCTGCATCCTACGATCGAAACACAGCTTAGTAAGTAGTGTACGGCAGCTGAAGTAGGCGATATTGAGGTACACACGCATATGAGTTTTTATTGACCACCTTTACTGTCATAGTGCTAATTACTCTGTAATTCATTTACAGAGTAATTAGCACTATGACAGTACACATATTTATTTATAAAAATATACTGCAACAAAATTAAATCGATTGTCTGTTAGTTAATTGTACCAACCTGAAATGGTTCTAGTAATGAATACAATAAAAAATATTATTTCAAGTAAGGGGGCGTTGCACACGCGGATGAAATTTTCACACTTAATATATACAAATAACTACTTGCAAATACCTATGTCATGTTTAAAGAAAATGGCTCAGTTTACACACAGTTTCAAATAAACAAAGAAAATAATATTCCTAAGTGACGCAAACTTGTTTCTAATTAAAATTACTAATCAGCATAAAATTGGACATTAATGAAAACGTATTGACTGTATTCCGCTCCTAAGAGGGTATTACATTGTCAAATACGGCCTCTCATGTAGGTGTTAAATTTGAAGCGACCTCTATTTTTTTTAATAACGGCTGTAGGTTGATGTACCTAAATGTAAGTATTGTATGTGGTAATGTATCCAGCCAGGTCGACCTCCACTTGGTTTCCCTGGAGACCGTCATGATAAATTGCTGGTGAATTGGTTTTTTTTTTTTTTACGGATGATAATGGAATGGTGCACCCGCCTGCGCTAACGGTTTACGCTGGCGGGGCACCAGTGGACGATGATAAGATGAGCATGAGGTCAGGTCAGTTAGCCCATCGAGACAAATTCATCAAGAATTTATCACGATGGTTTCCAGGGGGAACCGCGTGGAGGTCGACCTGACATGGTACATTGCTAGCAATGAGATCATCAGTCGACATTACTAACAATCACCTTTCCCCCCTGGTGAATTGGTTACAATGGGCTTACTAAAGAGCGTGTACTAACTAGGCGGGTGCACCATTTCATTATCATATATTAAAAGTAGTTGTGCAAAGTTTAAACCCAATATAACATTTGTGTTTTTTTTTTCTCTAACATAAACTTCAGTCAAACTAAAGTCCTCGAGTGGCGACCGCGGACCGGAAGACGCAGCGTGAGAAGGCCTCCCGCAAGGTGGACCGACGCGGATGATCTGGTCAAGATCGCTGGAAAGAATTAGATGCGAGCAGCGCAGGACCGATCGTCATGGAGATCTTTGGGGGAGACCTTTGTTCAGCAGTGGACGTCTTTCGGTGATGAAACTTCAGTAAAACATTTGACATTTGTGTTTCTTACTCTAAAATAAACTTCAGTATTTAATCCAATAAATTAATCGAAATTTACTATTTTGAAATTGGGCACTGCATCTCGGTGTCCTCTGGAAACTATAATGGTTGATTTTTGCCATGTTGCTCATCTTATCATCCTTCACTAGTACCCCGCTAACGACATTAGCAAAGGAGTGTAAAACTATTATAAAATGTTAATTCATTAAAAAAATTCGTCAATAAAAAAACTTTAATTGTAAATAAATTCTTTAATAAAATTCTTCAAATATACAATTAAAAACATTAGACCCCATACACATTAACACCTGTGCCTTATGCATCAGACAAAAAAAAGTTATAATTCTCGTGTAAAATTCAACGTGGCGCAGATAAAAAAATGTAGCTATATACGTAGATAGCTACATTTTTTTGTTTTACAACACTTCAGAAAACGTTCAACAACTGTGTACTCTTAAAAATATGAATGTAAGTATATATTTACTTATTAAACTCATTTTCAAAGTGGGAAATGAAAATAAAATATAAAATTTATAACTTCTTTTAATTAATCTTTTTAATATTTATATCTATTCAACCAAACTTCAAAACTACGAAGTTCTCAAATCAACTTGTGAAATACAAAGGGGTCAATAAAATATATAATATTCACTCACTTCAAACACTATCATAAAAAAATCTATACAACAACGTGTACAAAACTCTGAGCATTTAACAAGGATTCAGTTCAGCATACTGCCTTCCGATGGTTTCTTTTCTGACGGCCTCGGTGGTCTAACAGTTTTAGAATACCACCCGACTTCTGATGTTCGTGAGTTCGATTCCTCACACTACACAAACATTTGTATTCATAAGTACCTATAATTGTTTGGATTGGTCTGGGTGTTTTCTATATATATATATATATATATTATGTATTAGAGATGTGTCAACTCGAGTTGGAAGTATAGTTGAATACTTTCCAAACCGATGGATATAAAAAATTTTTCATTTAAGAATCTTATTCGTCCGGTTATGTTATCATTAAAATGTTTAGTACCCATAAATCTCTGCTTAGCTTGGGACTAGATGGAGCAATTTTAAACATTATTTTTATTTATTGTCACATATTCCTTTAGTTTATGTTTTATGTATAATATATTATTACTACATATTTAAATACATCCCTAAGTTATCTAGTACCCATAGTACGTTATTCAGCCACAAGATGGCGCCGTTTCTTATTAACAAAACTTGCTTCAGAGGATTGTAACAATTTCCCTATAATCACTATCATAATTCATCATAAATTAGCATCGAATTGACGATGGTCGCCATCATCAACTGCGTGCATCGTTGATTGTCTCTGGTACGATGACCTCCAATCCGTCCAGGTCTTTGGTGAGGGTTATTTGGCAGCCCAGTCGCGAGGTGTCCGTGAGACCGTACGCCAGATCTAGCATATCCCGTTCTTCATCAGACGCCTCCTCTGGTAGACTGAAAAATAATAAAAAACAAATTTGGGCATGTGTTCCATATATTACGACGACCTCGGTGGTCTAGTACTTTAGCACACCGCCTTACATTCGACGGTCGCGAGTTCGATCCTCGCACGGCACTAACATTTGTATTCATGAGTATGATTGTTTGTATCGGTCTGGGTGTTTTCTATGTATAAAGTGTATGTATTTACGAAAAAAAAACTATTTGTATCGGTTATCTAGTACTCATAACACAAGCTTTAGCTATCTTAACTTGGGTCTAGATGGCGCTATGTGAATTGTCCTGAGATTATTATTATTAGATATGCCTTTATTCTATAATTTTGCTGCCTTATCTAATAACCCCAAAAAATAGAACAAGATTCTAAAAAAATGTATAAATTAGAAATTTATTTTTATTTATAATGTATATTTATTTTTATAATCTACAACACATTCGGAAAGCTGTCTCATCACAAGAAGGACGAGCAAGAAACTTGCGCGTTGCTGTTTTAAATGAGTTTCGAAATTTTACATAATGTTTTAAACATAAACTGACAGAGCCGGAACTTATAAATATGTGATTGTATACATGTATATACATGTAACATATACATATACAGTATTGTCTAACGGACAATATAATGTCGCGAATTTATGAGGTTTTTGAAGGTCACTCACCTTTTAGAATTTATCATATGACTATTAATACTAGCACAGATAACATAATATACTAGACTCCAGTCTCTCCGAAAGCTTCAAAAACCATATATTTTTGAAGTATTTCTACGACAAAACTGCGCGGATCTTTATAGAAATAGAAATTATTATTATTTAAATAAACTTATATAAAAACTTTTTAAACATTGTTTTTTTAAATCTATGCTCATTTGGAACGCAGACTCGTCACAACTAAATAAATAAATAAATAATCTTGGACAATTAATACAGCGCCATCTAGTCCCATGGTAAGCAGAGCTTGTATTTTGGGAGAAATCTGAACCTACCAAGCTGGATAGTTTGATGGCCTCTGTGATCCAGCGGTCTAACACACCGTGTTATTTCCGATGGTCGTTGGTTCGATTCCTCGCACGGTGCAAATATTTGTATTCATGAGTATAATTGTTTGTATCGGTCTGGGTGTTTTCTATGTATAATATGTATGTATTTACAAAAGAAAAATATCTATGTATTTGTATCAGTTGTCTAGTACCCATAACATAAGCTTTAGCTAGCTTAACTTGGGTCTAGATGGCGCTGTGTGAATTGTCTTGAGATTATTATTATTACTATTTTTATCCAAAAATTCTCATCTCCCCTCTTAAGGAGAAGAGATGGCAACATACCCCCGGCAGAAGCACAGTCGGCCGGGGTTCATTATTATGAGTATAATTGTTATCGGTCTGGGTGTTTTATATGTGTGTACATAAAAAAAAATCGAAGTATTTACGTATTACATTTGTCTAGTACCCATAACACAAGCTCTGCTTACCGTGGGACTAGATGACGCTGTGTTAATTGTCCGGGGTTACTTATTTATTTATTTATTCGTAGCCCAAAAAAAATAGTATTTCGAGGATTCTTAATTAAAATACCTATCAAAATCCTTCTGCTTCAGTATAACGTGACACGTGGAGCATGTTAGGGTGCCTTCACAGGCGCCGTACCCTTCTATGTTGAGGTCGTTATTCACCACCACGTCGAGCAGTGTGTCTACACATCTGACAATAGCCCAAACAACCCAATAAAAAAAAAAAAATTAAAATACCTATCAAAATCCTTCTGCTTCAGTATAACGTGACACGTGGAGCATGTTAGGGTGCCTTCACAGGCGCCGTACCCTTCTATGTTGAGGTCGTTATTCACCACCACGTCGAGCAGTGTGTCCCCGACCTTAGCCTCCGTTTCTAGACGCTTACCGTCGTTTAGGACGAAAGCTACTTTTACTCTGAAAATAAAAGTCTTATTACTTACTAGCTTTTGCCCACAGCTTCGCTCGCGTTAATTTATCCCCTTAGGGGTGGAATTTATCAAAATCCTTTCTTAGGGGAGGCCTACGTCATAGTAGATTTATGCATGCAAAGTCTCAGCCCGATCGGTTTAAAATTTACAAAGTTTTATACAAACTTTCATCCCCTATTTTATCCCCTTGGGGGTAGAATTAATCAAAATCTTTTCTTAGTGGATGCCTATTTCATAACATCTACATGTATACCAAATTATATAACTGTAAAGTTTCATCAAAATCAGTTCAGTAGTTTTTGCGTGAGAGTAACAAACATCCATACTTACAAACTTTCGCGTTTATATATTATAAACTACTACCTACCCGACTGTATTATACAGATAAACCTTCCTCTTGAATCACTCTATCTATTAAAAAAACCGCTTCAAAATCCGTTGCGTAGTTTTAAAGATTTAAGCATACATAGGTACGGACAGACAGCTACAGCGACTTTATTTTATACTACGTAATGATTAAGATATTACTTCAATGATAAATAAGCATTTACAGTGTATGGTACATGGCCTCGTTGGTCTAGCGGTTTAGCAACTGCCATACTTGATACTCATACGATGGTCGCGGGTTCGATTCCTCACACGATGCAAACATTCGTATTTATGAGTATGATTGTTTGTGTTATATAGGTATTTAGACGAAATAAATACTGAATTTGTTTTACTTGTTTAGTACATATATAATACATAGAAAACACCTATACAAATACAAACAATTATAATCATCAATTGTTTGCACATGACTGGAATCGAGCCTGCAACCATCGGAATTTAGGCGGCGTGCTAAACACCTACACCACAGGGCACTGTAGCCTATCAGTTGTTGCTAAGTTACACCTTGTATAACCTCTAGACGTAACAATACTCAGTCTTCATATCATCAATAAATATAGTAATCATCAAAAAGGCTTATGATAAGATAGGAATTGTTTGTTAGAAATGTAAATATATTTATTTACATGACTAATAAAAGATATTACAGTAACAATATTATAACTCGAAAATAACTCTGTCTGTCTGTCTATCTCGCTTTCACACTATAACTGAACCGATTAATCATCATCTGCTTCTTTCTTTATTATTTGTGGTCGTCGTAATATGTTTTTCGCTTCCATTCATCCCTGTTCGCAGTCATCGCGTTATTTACTTCCTTTCTTACTATATCATCTTTCATACAGTCCATCCATCTCTTTTTCGGCCTTCCTCTGCCCTTATAACCATCCACATTCATATGTAACACCTTTCTTAAAATATTATCCTCATTCCTACGCATTACATGTCCATACCATGATAGACGATTACTCTTCAACCTCTCCGACACCGGCGCCACTTTCATACTTCCTCTAATGTATTCATTCCTTATCTTATCCATTCTTGTCACACCACACATCCACCTCAACATTCGCATTTCAGTTGCATGCAGTCGTCTTTCATCCGTCGCCTTTACGGGCCAGCACTGAACCGATTAATACACATAGTACCAAAACACAGATTTGGACCCTGAGAAAGGACAAAGACTACTTTTTAATGCAAAAAAAGGGTTGTAAGGGGTTAAAAGGGGAGTAGAAAGTTCGTATGGAAATATTGTCATTTTTAAAGCTAAAAGCTTGAAACTTATTTTTTAGGCTGTTAATTAAATATAAATAAATATGACATATAAAAAAAATGTATATAAGTATTTATATCAACCTTATACTGTGTCCATAACTCAAGCTATGCTTAGCTTGGGGATAGATGATGCTATGTTAATTGTCCAGAGTCCTTATTATTTTTATATACAATTCTATAAACATGTAAATAAATCTGGCAAATTACCATTTACCAAGATAGGCTAATGAACCTGACTGATAAAGCTCATCCTATCATCCTCTACTAGTGCCCGCCAGCGTAAACCGTTAGTGCAGGCGAGTGCACCATTCCATTAACGTCCATAATAAAACTCAAAACATGTATTACCCAGGTTGTCTGCAAGAGATTGCTTTGAGCGATAAGGACACCTTTTGTTAGCATATTTTTATATTAAGTTATTTTTTGCAAATATTTCTATTAGTTTGCACAATAAAGAGTATTATTATTATTACAAATATGTGGTAGATTTTACTAAAAAACATCCTAAACCTACCATTTTATCTCAAATCTATTCTACTATTCTAAATTATCTATTTTGAATTGTAGATTATAGAATGGATTCTATCATTGTAAATTGAAATTAATGAATGTCTAATGAACAAAAATTATTAGTACATTCATTCTAACTTATAAATAATTAAGAGAATAGAAAATTAATGACTTAATAGAAATAGAAATAATCTTTATTCAAATAAACTTAATATACTTATGCACTTTTGGATAGTCTAGTTTTTTTTATTCTACCACTCATTCGGAATGCAAACTCATCACAAGAAGAATGAGCAAGAAACTTGATAAACTTATATTTAATTAACAATTACAAACAAACAAAGGATTAGGCATGCGACAAACAACATAGAAACCGCTACACTCTTAATCTCTATTCAATCAGATAACATTGTCAGCGCTATGAATTTTAAGTTAGATATTTTCTACAAAAACATTACTATCATTTATAAATTCTTCAATTTCATAATAAGCTTTTTACAAATTAAATATTTTATAAGATATTTGAATCTTTTTTCTGACAAATTGAGTACAATATAACAAGAATATGTAACAAGGACTTAGGCTTGATTTCCTGTGAATGAATATAGCATAGTGCTTCCACCTGCGCTAACAGTATACGCTGACGGGCCACCAGGGGATGTTAGGATGAAAATGAATTCTTGTCAGTTACACATTTTGGAAAACCACAAAAAATTAACAGGTTTCCAGAGGAGACAACTTGGAGATTGAACTGACAAGACAGCTATGGAGTCTCTAGTTCCCTTTACTAATAATCCCCACCCCCCAGTTGCAAGTAAATTTAAACTTATACAAATCACTTACTTCTCATCCTTTAATCCCAGTTTTGTGGTGGATAACGGCACAGCACTGTTATGATTACTAAAACTTGTACCTAAGCAGTTGTATTTGCTAATATAACTTCTAGGAGCAGTGAAAGTTTTTAAAGTTCTATATGATATTCTGGCTATATTCATTTTGTGATGTAAATTGTATTATTATTATACAATTATTAGTTAATTGCTCACTTTGTTGAGTTTATATGAATATTGTAATGTCAGTTAATTAATATGCAATGATATAAACTTAAATGCCCTTGAAATATTTGGCAATTTTAGGTTAACATTTGATTGATGATTTCAGAATGATTAGAGCTAGGGACGTGAAAAAATAATTATCAAAATACTCGATTATAACCTTGCAATAAATCGATTATTTCACTCACGGTATTTTTAACTTGCCAAGTGCCCTGAAAAGCAGAAAGCTAAATTATTATAATAAGAAATAAGTACAAAAGTACGACGTTGCAAAAGCAAAGTTACAATTTAAAAGCCAAGATAAAGTGTCTTAAAAGTATAAGACAAGCGGTTGGAAAATGGTAATTGTTAAAAACTTCAATAAGAAAAAGTAAATAAAGTATTTTCAAAATGTCATTTCTTATTTCATTAATCGTTCTTATAATTTATTATTTTAATTATTTATTGAACGTTGTAGATGGTGCACATAAAATTAAGCAGAAAATAATATTATTTTGCTTAATTTTTCGATGGTATTATTCCAATAATTCTATATGTATACCTATATTTTGATCTCCTTCTAAAACAGATGTTTCTTTGTGAAAATTAATTTTATATAATTTATTAATTGAATTTCGAAATTTTCGAGAATTTAGAATTAGTTGAAACATTAACACATAAAAAAGACAGTTTTTGCCTTATCTTGACTTTATTATATGAAAAAATAAACAAAAATAATTATTCTAATAAAATGTTTATAGTGTACAAAGAAAAACAAACGATTGATTAATATCGATATAAAATCGGTTTTATTGTAAATTGAACATCCTTATCTTTAGTTGTACTAGATTTTTTGTGATGTCATTGTGGATGTCACTCTTCAGTGCTGTGACACATTCCGTTTCACACACACACGGTTCAGTTTATTGTACAATTTTAGTTATACCGTATTGTAAGTATTAAAGTGTAATTAGTATAAGTATATATTTTAAGTATTAAAAATGATTTAATTACGTTATATTACATTGATTTAACCTATTTTACATCTTACAACAGTTATAGGATATATTGTTTTCTGCGTAAAATATTATAAACGTCAGGTACAATTGTCAATCTGACAGTGGACAAAGATATGATGAGAAAAAAAATATTAATTACTCTGTGTTTATTGAAAATATTGAAATTGAAACATGAATCGTAGTTTTCAATATCAAAATATTTGAACATATAAAAATCCATGATTACAAACAGTATAGCGTATCGAATAGTGATTAATTTCGTCATAGTTTAAAACTTAATACGTTCGATTAGAATTGAGAGAATAGTGAAATTTGTAAAATGTCTGATAGGTTAAAAACTACTGATGAAGTGTCTAATGAAAAAATCGTAGAGGATTTGACCAAAGACTTGGAATTTAGTTTAAGTACAGAGGAACCGAAAGAAGACTATGTTATCAATCCTGGTTCTAGTGTAGAGCAGATTGTGCCGTCGGCTGGCGATACACAGAAAACAAATGATGGTATGGTGTTTGTTTTTATCTCTTTGTGTATTACTAACCCCGCCCTAATTATAAACAATAATGTGGGGTGAGGTGACACCTCACTGCTGCCTCTAAGTTATAGACCGTTTTGTCTCAATTATTACTTTTAAAATTTATTACAAGCATCAATTATATTAGTTTTTATTTGAGACAAGGAAAGTATTAATATTTTATTACTAGTAAGATTTGCTTTATTGAGCAATTAAATATTCAAATCCAAATTCAATTTATACAATCTAACAAAAATATTTTAATATGTATATGTTATTTTTAATTCTCCGTCTCTCAATTAGTCTCCGAGTCAATGTGTCCTTTAGACACAAAGACCTCCTCCAGCATCTTCCATGTGTCCCTATCTTTAGCCACTAAAATATGTTGGATAATAAATGTGATAAAAAAAATTACAGGTATTCCACAAGAAACAGAATTCGACGATGATTATGAGGAAAAAAATAAGAGTGATGACAGTGATTCAGACTCAATAGATGAGGTATCCCTCAAGGATGCTGAGGTGGACCTGACCGATGACCAGAAGGAGGAACGGAGACTAATAGCAGAACAATTGAAAGAAACGGGGAATAATGCATTCAAAGTTGGAGAATATGAGAGAAGCTTGGACAAGTACACTGAAGGTAACCAGTCTACACGTCTATTTTAACTAGGTGTAAATTCTCATTCTCTCTCCAACCCATTTTTGTATTGTATTATGGACTCCGCATTTCACTAAATGGACTCTACACATCTGGGCCGTTGTGTAGCGCCAAGACTACTAAAGTAGCCAGCCAAGCTCCTCCCAGAAGCCCAGAAGCCCAGAAGCCACCTGGTGTCTTTCCAGGTTTTACGGGGTGACCTCACCATTCTAAGGATTTTTGGGCTCGTTATCCTGTTCAACCCATGTTCCCAGTTAAGTAGGATCGGTTCTCCCTGTACATCTGCGCCAGAGGACTCTGTTCTGGGTTGTCTGAATAGTAAGGTTGTCATAGTCCATCTGCTTCTTAATATTGGTCCACCAAGTGGCGGGTGGCCTGCCTCTACCTCTGATCGAGTGTTAATTATTATCTTATATATAAAATTCTCGTGTCACAGTTTTCGTTCCCATACTCCTCCGAAACGGCTTGACCTATTCTCATGAAATTTTGTGAGCGTATTGAGTAGGTCTGAGAATCGGCCAACATCTATTTTTCATGCCCCTAAATGTTAGGGGTAGTCCACCCCTAAATTTTTTATTTTTATTTTAAGGCAAAACAACAACAACAAGCATTAGTCTCGGAGATGCTAAGTCCGAAATTAAATAGCACCTACTGCCTTGTAGGAGATGTTGGATCATCAAAGGCTAGGGCATTATCCCGAAATTCTGTTGTGTTGTATATTTTCTTAATTGTATGTAATGAGTGACAATAATGAGAATGTTTTGCCATGCAATCCGGCTAGCCCCCGGCGCTCACAGGTATCCGGGCCTGTGAGTGAGAAATTGATTACCGAAGGCCGCGGGGGGGTGGATACCCAGGCCCTCCTAACGGTTAATGCTACTGGTCTTGAAGATAGTAATAAAAAGCTAATTCAGCAAACTTTCCATCCTAGCATGTTCTTATCAAGGCCAAGAAGTGCTTCAACAAGTCATATAACTGAAGTAAACACCCAAAACCAAACATGTAATCGAGATTCTAGTAATCCAGCTATCATGAATATGAATCCTCCCACATGGCAGCGAGTGCCAACTTTAAGAAATGCTAAAAGAAAAAAAATTTCCTCACCATCTCCCGAGAGAATAACGGTAACCAACACATTCAGTGGGCTTTCTATTGATGAAAATGAAGATAACCCCACAGAACACAATAAAACGGTCAAGGTCAATAAACCACCACCAATTATCCTGTATGGTATTGATGATGTCAATAAGCTTACAGAACTCTTAGAAAGTGTTGTGAATAAAGCAGATTTCACATTTAAAATTGTAAATCAAAACCAATTAAGGATCAATTGTACTAATGTGGAAGCATACAAGAAGGTAATTGATGTTGTAAGGGAAAGAGGTCTTATTGGACATACATTCAATAGAAAAGACAAACGGTCTTATAGAATTGTGATTAAAAATCTTCATCACACAACACCAATTAAATTAATTAAAGAAGCACTAGAAGAGACGGGGAACAAAGTGGTAGGGGAAATAATAAATGCTAAGTATGGACCTGAAAAGAAACCTACTTCCACATTTTTTGCTAACCTTTTACAGGATCCCAATAATAAATTGGTAAAAAATATTAAATACATTCACCATCAGTCAGTAACTATAGAAGACCCACGGAAACGGAATATAATAGTACAATGCCAAAGATGCCAGCAATATGGTCACTCTAAAAACTATTGCATGAGGCCATTTCGCTGTGTAAAATGTGCTCAATCCCATAAAACGGCTAAATGTCCAAAGACCGACCGTAACACTCCTGCAAAATGTGCTCTTTGTCTCGGTGCCCATCCAGCCAATTTCAAAGGCTGTGAGGTATACAGAGAAATACTAAAAAGAAAAACTAATAAGCAGTCACACATAAAGGCTAGAGAAAATGCTAAAACAGGACTCAATATAAACATTCAACCTCCACCACAGCACTTTGATGTAAGAGCAAGCCCAAATCCAGATGTTAATAAACACATGAAATACTCAGATGTATTGAGACTCAGCAAAAACACTAAAGATGTAGATTACGTGACTTCAACAATACCACCAAATAAAACAGTGGAAGAAATGCTTTTAAAACAAGCAGAAAAATTTGATCTAATATTACAACAGATGAGTACTTTAATCAACCTCATAACAACGCTAGTGTCTAAAATTACAAAATGACTTCCCTTAAAATAGCTACTTGGAACCTAGACGGGCTATCTCCAAATAAAGAAGAAGTTGAAGCTCTACTACATACTCACAACATAGACATATTATTAGTATCCGAAACTCATTTTACAGCAAACAGTAGTATTAGAATACAGAAATACAACATATATGCTACCAATCATCCTGACGGTACAGGACATGCTGGGGCTGCCATTATCGTGAGAAGTGGCATACATCACTACGAACTTCCGCAATTTAAAAAAGCCCACATACAAGCAGCCTCTATTGCGGTTGAAGATCGAAACGGAACATTCAATGTCTCTGCGATTTATTCTCCTCCTAAACATAAAATAACAAACGAGCAATATGATGACCTATTTGATACCTTAGGGCCGCGATTTATAGTTGGTGGAGACTGGAATGCAAAGCATGTTCATTGGGCATCTAGATTAACCAATACGAGAGGTAGAGAACTTAAGAAGAGCCTAGACAGGAATAATATTGTCACAATTTCTACTGCAGAGCCTACCAATTGGCCCGCTGATCCCAATAGATTACCGGATGTCATAGACTTCTTTGTCGTTAAGGGCTTATCTAGACTTTTCTACCAGATAAAGACATGCTTGGATGCTCATTCTAATCATGTCCCAGTAATATTAACAGTAGGAAATACTGTTCTTAATACAGATATAAAAGCAAAATTGTATAATAAAAGAACAGACTGGAATTCGTGAACTTGTAAACCAAAAACTTGATCTAAAAATTGCACTTAAAACTGAATCTGACATTGATGATGCAACTAAATTTATAACTACAATAATTCAAGAAAGTTGTTGGATGTGTACTCCTGAATCTACTGAACGTCCACAACGCAAAGTATACTCTGAAAGTATACGTTTTAAAATACTTGAAAAGCGGAGACTTCGGCGTGTGTGGCATACTAGTAGACACCCTAGTGACAAAAAACTGCTCAATAAAGCAACCAAAGAACTAAAAGCCCTGATTTCTGAGGCTAATACTGCCGCAATAGAGACCTATTTAGAAGGACTGACTGCCACAAAGGCATCTAATTACTCACTATGGAAAGCAAGTAAAAACTTTAATCGACCATTATATCACAAGCCACCTCTTAGGAAACACGACGGAAAGTGGGCCAAAACAGGCCAGTGTAAAGCTGAAGCTTTTGCAGATCATCTTAGTAGAGTCTTCATGCCCAACAATGCTGCTCCGAATGTAGACGAATCTGAAATGGACTCAATTCTTGAACAGGATCTTCAGCTAGACCTTCCTCTAAAACTAGTGACACCCAAAGAGATTTATGGAAACATAAAAACCATGGAAAACAACAAGGCACCAGGGTTTGACCTCATCGACAAAAAGGTTCTTGAAGAGATGTTCCAGAGCCATAGTGTATCTCACAATGTTATATAATGCAATTTTAAGAGTTTTATCCAGACTTGTGGAAAGTATCTCAAATCATAATGATACACAAACCTGGTAAACCGGCTCATGAGGTTGCTACTTATAGACCAATTAGTTTACTGCCTGTCATGTCTAAGCTGTTTGAAATGTCCCTTCTGCACAGACTAACAAGTGTTCTCAAAGAAAAATCTATTATCCCTGATCATCAATTCGGATTTCGAAAAGAACATGCCACTGTTGAACAAGTTCATAGAGTATGCCGCAAAATTAGAAAATCCTATGAAAAGAAAGAATATTGTTCATCTGTGTTCATTGACGTCCAACAGGCCTTTGATAAAGTTTGGCACAGAGGATTTTATTATATGAAATTAAATGTTTACTTCCACACACATTCTATTTAATATTCAAGTCTTATGTATCCAATAGGCTATTTCAGGTGAAAGAAAATGACTGCACCTCAGGATTCTATGAAATCCGTGCAGGAGTACCACAGGGCTCTGTACTAGGACCTGTCTTATACATTTTGTACACATCCGACTTACCTCAAAGTACTGAAATTACAACAGCAACGTTTGCTGACGATACAGCCTATTGCTTCGAGCGAATGTCCAATTAAAGCTTCCAACATCTTACAAAAAAACCTAAATGAAGTAGAAAAATGGCTAACTAAGTGGAAAATTGCTGCCAATGTGACTAAATCAGTCCATGTAACGTTTACCCTTAGGAAAGGCGATTGTGCACCAGTTACCCTAAATGGTACTCAACTTCCACATCAAGATACAGTTAAGTATCTAGGAATGCATTTAGATCGCAGACTTACTTGGAAAAAGCACGTCCAAATGAAAAGGGAAGAAATAAATAGTAAATATAGAAGTCTCTACTGGATGCTTGGTAGAAATTCAAGATTGGCTATCGATAGCAAACTTCTCATTTACAAGGCAATGTTTAAGCCAATCTGGACATATGGGATACAACTATGGGGCTCTGCTAGTGACTCCAACATAATGACAATACAACGAGTTCAAAACTATATATTGAAACAACTTTCGGATGCACCATGGTTTATAAAAACAACTGAGATCCACAAACTACTTGATATCCCCATGGTTAAGGATGTAATTGATGACTACAGCAACAAATACAAATCACGACTACACAGGCACCCAAATAAATTCGCTGGGCAACTTACAATACCTGAAAACTTGCGCCGATTAAAGAAAAGACGTGATATATTTGACCAAGATAGTCAGACAGGACTGACTTTTTAAGAGCGAGGAGCTGTTCTACTGAGAGCGGCACTCTACCTGTTACAGACGGAACACCACATCTGCTTATAGTCCATGTGACTGATTGCAAGATCTAAAAGGGAAAAAAAAAAAAAAAAGGCAAAACAACGTTTGCCTAGACTGCTAGTATTTTGTATATATTTTCTTAATTAGCCTATGTGAGACCATAAATATTCAGTGCAGAAACAAGACCACTGCTATTAGAATAATTATGACCTTCGACCAAATGTCTTATAAATGATAGTGGAGTGGTACACCCTCCTGCGCTGTCGGTTTACGTTGGTGAAGCACTAGTAAGATGATAAGATGAGCATGAGGTCAGAACAGTTAGCCCGTCGTGACAAATTCTCTAAGAATTTATCACGATGGTTTCCAGGGGGAACTGTGTGGAGGTCAAAGTGACATGGTACATTGGTAGCAATAAGATCATCAGTCCACATTACTAACAATTTCCCCTGAGGAGCAAAATTAGGCTGGTCTATCTGCTTCTTAATATTGTTCCACCAAGTGGGAAGTGGCCTCTACCTCTGGTCGAGGAAGAGTTAAGTGTTAATGAATGTATTTTTTTTTAATTATTATGACCTTCGACCGTATGTCTTACGGATTAAAATCGAATGGTGCACCCGCCTGTGCTAACGGTTTACGCTGGCGGAGCACCAGTGTAGGATGATGAAATGAGTATGAGGTCAGGCCATTGCTAGCAATGGAGTTATTAGTTCACAGTACTAACAATCCCCCCTCGACCTTATGTCGTAGTGTGGTCGCCGAGCCAACATTAGGAGTTCAAATCATGTCAAACTGTATCTATTCCATGATTTTTTAATGTGCATACCTAGAGCGCCTTTGCCGAAGTCACGAGGTCACCTTAGTATCATCCCTAGATTTTTTTTTCAAGTATTCTTTGCTGTTGGTCTAAGTTTGCTGTTTGGCTTTTTTTCTATCTCATATTCTACAGCTGTTGGCTGCAGCTGGCCTTTACAGCTTCACCGGACGATAGGGAGCGAGTGCAGATGGCACTCCAAACCAAAGGTAAGACTTATGGAGCGGCTGAAGGCCAACTCCCGCCTGGCGGATTTGCCTTCAGTTTGAAGGCACCGTTAAGGGTTCGAATCTCGGATCTGGCCGTCGCGATTTTGATTCCCGTTTGAATGCGCCAGAGTCTAGTGTGTTAGCTATTACGACCTTTTTAAGCTGTTTTTTTCCTAATAGGTTTGAAAATCTGTCCACTCCAGTCGACGAAGCTTCGCGCTGTCCTGTACTGCAACAGGAGCGCCTCAAAAATGAAACTGGAGAGATACAAGCAGGCAATCAAAGACTGCACCAAGGCCATAGAGCTCGATGAGAATTATGTGAAAGCATATATCAGGTAATAAATACATTTTAACATTCTTTTAATGTATAATAATGGACTTGTAATGAAAAATATTATTGAGGGAAATATAGAAAGAAAGAGATGTAGGGAAAGATCAAGGCACAACTACGTCAAGCAAATTTGGAGTCGTGTTGTATAAAAAAATTTTTTTTATAACACGGGACAAACGATCATGCGGTCACCTGGTGGTAAGGCCTCCCATGAGCACCCGCAACACCAAGCAAGTACGTTGTCGGCCTTTTAAAAAGGAAAAAGCTCTTTTCTTGAAGGTTTCAATATCGTATCGGTTTGGAAATACCATTGCTGGACGGTGATTCCACAATTGTGCGTTGCAAAAAGTTTCTAGAAAACCGCACTGTGGAAGACCGCATTTAAAAAGCATAATCGCCGATCGCGTTTTATTAGGGTTCACATCAATATTGTAGAAAAATCTGAAATTTTAAAAAGATATTTTTTTTTAACAAAGTTGTTCGCGGGGTTTGTAAGCGGGGTAACGATATGCGATAACAGTTACCCCGCTTCTCTCCCTACTACACTGACTTCGGTACGGAGAAATTTATCCCGGTCTTAGTTGGACCTGGGGGGAAGCTGCAGGTAGTGAAGGTGAGTGTTAATGCATTCTAAAAGGGCCTTTTAAACCTACACCCGTGTCACAAGTCACGGGCGCTACTTGGGGTTTCTCTTCCGGTAGCCGGCTTCAAAGCCTAAGTCCTCATCATTAATTAGTGCTTCTTACATTTGGAACAATATTTATTTAAAAGAACAACACGCAAGTTTCTTCCTCTTTCTTCTCCGTTCCAGTTTAGTGGTAGAGTAAGAAATATGACTATATAGAAGTGACTTAGATTAAGTTTATTTGAATAATTTAAATATTTCTATTTAAATACAGTACAATACTATATCTTTAATTAATCTTTGCTATATAAAATTCTTTATTGCACTTGTAACATCTATACATATAAATAAAATTAGAGTGTCTGTTTGTAATATTGAAATAACCATTTTTTACTACATGCATATGAATATATAATAAATACGGTGCATAAACCAAAATGACATTTTTTACGATTTTTGTCTGTCTGTCGGTTTGTTCCGGCTAATCTCTGAAATGGCTGAACCGATTTTGACGGGACTTTTTTTGGCAGGTAGCTGATGTAATAAGGAGTAATTTAGGCTACTTTTAATTCAGAAAAAATCTTTTATTTTAGAAAAATAAAGTTAAATTCCACGCGGACGAAGTCGCGGGAAGAGCTAGTTAGTAAATAAAGAATAGTACAAAAATGTGAGCGTGGACTTATGTTTGAAAGAGATCTCTTCCAGCCAACCTAACGCTGTTAGCTGGCAACGATAGATGCTCGAATTTAATTTTTTTTTTTCGGACTACTCTAATGCTGTTGGCCTTGGCATCTGGCCTTTACAGCTTCACCGGACGATAGGAGATGAGTGCAGATGGCACTCCAAACCCGCGGAAGGTCTTATGGAGCGGCTGAAGGCCAACTCCTGCCTGACGGATACGACTTTAGTCTGAGGGCACCACTAGAGGTTCGAACCTCGGCTCAGGACGTCGTAATTTCGATTCTCGATTGAATTGGACGGGGGATCGATCGGAGGGGATCGAATTTACGTAATAACAATATTGTAATGTATACTTAAAAATATATATATTACGTTATTTCAGGCGAGCACAGTCCTACGAGGCTGACGACAAATTAGACGAAAGTCTAGCGGATTACAAGAAGATTCTAGAATTCGATCCCGCGCACAAAGAGGCAATAAAAGCGACGGTGCGCCTACCGCCGCTCATAGAACAGAAGAATGAGAAACTGAAGACGGAAATGTTAGGGAAATTAAAAGATTTAGGCAACATGATCCTAAAACCTTTTGGTTTGTCCACGGATAACTTCCAAATGGAACAAGACCCGGAGTCTAAGGGATACAAAATTAATTTTAAACAATAAATAATGTATATAATATATAGGTATTTATGTTATTCTAAAATTGTGTTTTAATTTTTATTATAATATTGATGAGAGAGCGTATGTTCTTATGAGGAGAGCAAGCTTCTAAACCACTGCACTGATTCTGTAAATTCTTTCTCGTTTTTTAATATATATAGTTCAGATTGACATAGGCTATATATTGTGTGCTTGCCGCGGTGGTCTAACGGTTTAGCACACCGCTTTACTACCGATGATCACAGGTTCGATTCCTCTTACGGTATAAATATTTATATTGATGTTTATGATTGTTTGTTATTTATATTGGGAATATATCTTATCGCTTTTCTTAATTGTCATTTTTTTATAATATTTGTTAGGACAAGATTTCTTTAAATAGTTATAACATAATCTCAAATCAGTCAATTTAAATGTTGAACGCCATATTGTATTGCAATGGCATTTTATTACAAAGTTCCTGTGCCTAAAAGTAGTAATCTAAGAGAAAAAAAAATTACAGAGTTTTCAAAAAATTATAGTTTTCACAAAAAAAGAAATTAGTATTTAATCAATGCAAAAGAATAATATTGACATAGTCAGTTTTGAATTTAGAAAAGGGATTGTTTTAGATTATTATAGTCAAAATTATGTCACAATAATAAATATGTGGGAATTTATTTTGTAACATATACAGGTAAGTTAATATTATATTACAACATAATCTCAAATCAGTTTTCAATTTTGTACGCCATATTGTATTACGATGGCATTTTATTACAAAGTTCCTGTGCCTAAGAGTAGTAATTTAAAAGAAAAAAATAATAATTACAGAGTTTTCACAAAAAAAGAAATTAGTATATGTAATCAATTCAAAAGAATAATATTGACATAGTCAGTTTTGAATTTAGAAAAGGAATTGTTTTAGATTGTTATAGTCAAAATTATGTCACAATAATAAATATGTGGGAATATATTTTTTAGAGATTTATTTTATAAAATATACAGGTAAGTTAACATTATTAATTAATTGTACATATTTAATTTAAAGCTGTTTTATAAGATTAACGAAGGTGTTACATATGAATGTGGATGGTTATAAATAATAATAAATAATAAGTAAATAGTAAAATAAATAATAATAATAATATATGGACTGCATGCAACTGAAATGCGAATGTTGAGGCGGATGTGTGGTGTGACAAGAATGGATAAGATAAAGAATGAATACATTAGAGGAAGTATGAAAGCGAAAAAAGTATTAGAGGAAGTTTTAAGTTGAAATTTATGAATCTAGACTATCAATTAGGACTAGGTGACGATGCTCCGCAGTGGTGGATACGCATTTTTTTTTTCATTTTTATCACTGTTTTTGGTATATGTGTTTATATATATTATTTTCTTTTGTTTGATTTTCTTGTTCGCTTTTTTTTTATATCATATTTTTTTTTCTCTTAATGATTTGTATTGTATTTATTATTTCTATTTATATGTTATAATAATTTATATGCATCGTCATTGTTGTGTTGTGATGTGTGATAGTAATAAATATTATTCTATTCTATTCTAATTTATTAGGAGTTAAACTAAAAATACATAACTTAACTGGTTGAGTAACTAAATAAGAGTAAATCAGACGGTAGTGATTAAAGCAGACGAATCTCTACAAACAGCACATTACGAGAAAAATAGGTCAATAATCATCACAAGCATGATGTTCAGGGTTAGGTGTTGAGTTGTATATGTATACAACTCAACACCTAACGGCATACTCTACCAGTCAACCATAAAGCATACTGAGAAGTTTGAACAAGTTTTTAGATACATTTTTACGTGGTAATTATATAAAGCAACAGCTGCTGGAGCGTTAGAATAAAAAACATGCGAAAATGTTTTTATTATTATAATTTTTAATTTTGTCCTATTTTATTAAACTCATACAATGTATTTTGCTAGTATTCATTAAAATTGCAGTGGTACATATATAGAAAACGCAATTAATATTTCAACTTTCAGACACTTCATACACAGCCGACAATGGCGAGATATCGGCGGAAGCGAAAGTAAGTTCTTGCGTCACAATTCTTAGTTCTCTGCAACCTTGTTCATCGGAGAGAATGGGGACTGTTACTGTTGCGGGGTAATAATGCGATGTTGTCTGAATGACTATGACGTAGGCATCTACTTAGAAATGATTTTGATAAATTCCACGCGATTCAAATAAATTAATGTGAGCGAAGCCGCGGGCAAAAGCTAGTACCTATATCTATAAATTAGGTTACACATTATAATATCATCTAAGGACAATTCACACAGCGCCATCTAGTACCAAGTTAAGCAAGCTTAAGCTTGTGTTATGGGTACTAGACAACTGATACAAATACATAGATTTATTTTTCGTAAATACATACATATTATACATAGAAAACGAGCCGATATAATTATACTCATGAATACAAATGTTTGTACCGTGCAAGGAATCGAACCTGCGACCATCGGTAGTAAGGCAGTGTGCTTGACCGCTAGACCGCCGAGGTCGTCATTTAATTATATTTATACTTGCATTTAATTTATTACATTAATTATGATCCCATATATCTATTTATCAAAAAAAAAACAATCATGAAATGAAAATGTCCATAGAGACCGATCGGTTTTTTTTTATGGATGATAATGGGATGGTGTTCCAGCCTGCGCTAACGGTTTACGCTGGCGGGGCACCAGTGGAGGATGATAAGATGAGCATATGGTCAGGTCAGTTAGCCCTTCGAGACAAATTCACCAGAAATTTATCACGATGGTATCCAGGGGGAACCGCGTGGAGGTCAACCTGACATGGTACATTGATAGTAATGGGTTCATGAGTCCACATTACTAACAAGACCCTAGACCGATCAGTTTAAGGACCGCCTACTGCCGGAGTCCTACCGGCCAAAACCTGATGGCTATTCCTCCATGAACACATCACTGTGACCATGCGATAGCTAGACCGCTAGATCACCGAGGCCGTCATTCAGGCCTGGCGGTCGATAAAGTGTGACATTGTATGACATGAGGTTAGACAAAGGGTTGAACGTGTCTAGCTCAGGAGGTGAAGGTATATGAGGGGTATACAAATAGAAGAAAGAAAGAAAAAATATTTATTCAGTGCTTTTTTGGTTATTTATGATAGATAAAAAAAAGATAAAATAAATTCTTATCTTAATCAATCATTACATAGTATAAAATAAAGTCGCTGTCGCTGTCTGTCCCTATATACATAGGTTTAATCTTTAAAACTACGCAACGGATTTTGAAGCGGTTTTTTTAGTAGATAGTGATTCAAAAAGAAGGTTTATATGTATAATACATGTAGGTACACCCATGCGAAGCCGGGGCGAATAGCTAGTAATATTATAAACACGAAAGTTTGTAAGTATGGATGGATGTTTGTTATTCATTAACTCAAAAACTACTGAACGGATTTTGATGAAACTGTAATATAGCTATACATAGCTACATCAGAATGAGACAGGCTATAATTTAAAAAGATATCTAAATTATGCCCAATGACCCGTCCCACCACGCCGCCACACAATAAGATTAAATCAGTCGTAGTCATAAGAGCAGATCAGCCCCTACAAGCAGCACTTGTTCACGAGTATTACGGATGAGCCAGTCATCACCGCACTCGACCATATTTTAGGGCGCCCAATGACCCGGCCCACCACGCCGCCACATGTCTGGACATTTTAGTGAGCATACTACGTCATATACTACGTCATAGTTAATTCATTCAAATAATATATTTGTTTTTTTTTCAGATTGTGCAGAACGTAAGTATTTTTAACCGATATTTGTGGTAACTGGTAAGTTCATTATAATTTTTTTTAGATGATTATAATGGAATGCTGCACCCGCGTGCGCAACAGTTTACGCTGGCGGGGCACCAGTGGAGGATGATAAGATGAGCATGAGGTCAGGTCAGTTAACCCAACGTGAGAAATTCACCGGGAATTTATCACGATGGTTTCCAGGGGAATCCATGTGGAGGTCGACCTGACATGGTACATTGTTAGCAATAGGGTTATAGGTTACTTCCCAATCAAAAGAATCCCCTTCGGTTGCAAGTAGTGAAGGTGAGTGTTAATGCGTTCTAAAAGGGCCTTTTAAACCTACACCCGTGTCACAAGTCACGGGCGCTACTTGGGGTTTCTCTTCCGGTAGCCGGCTTCAAAGCCTAAGTCGTCATCATTAATCTCACGAGACTACAGCATGGGGTTTTTCAAGAAGGGTATATTAAGGTTTCTTAAGGGTCGGCAACGCGCACGTGACACCCCTGGTGCTTCAGGCGTCCATAGGCTACGGTAACCATTTACCATCAGATGGGCCGTATGCTTGTTTGCCACCATAGTAGTATAAAAAAAAAAAAATTAGTGCTTCTCACATAATGTATAAGCTTTTGCGTGACAGACCAACAAACTCCCATCCATCCAGACTCACAAATTTACGTTTATAATATTATTAAGATTTATCTAACAATTGACAGCCGATAGCCTGCGTATTAATATGCAGAATTTATCAATTTGGTAACAGCCGGTGTCGCAGTCGGAGCGGTAGATTCAAGAGGTGTCGCTCCAAAGATCGACGGTACAAGGTTCGTCAGTGTGGGTGCCGGCGCAGGCGGAGCGGCCAGGGACGACGGCGCAGCTCGAGATACCGTCGGAGAGGACGGTAAGTTGAAGTGACACTTCTATATAGACGAAGTTGCACCACTCAGCTAGTCTATACATATAAATAAAATTGGAGTGTCTGTTTGTAATATTGAAATAACCGTTTTTTACTACATACATAAGAATATAAATACGATACATGACCAAAATTACAAGTTTTGTCTGTCTATCTTTCTGTCTGTTTATTCCGGCTTATCTATGAAATGGCTGGACCGATTTAGACGGGACTTTTATTGGCAGATAGCTAATGTAATAAGGGGTAACTTAGGCTACTTTTAATTTAGAAAAATAAAGTTAAATACCAAGTAGACGAAGTCGCGGGTACAGCTAGTTGTAAAATAAAGTAACACAAACTCGTAATACATCCCTGACCGTAATTCGTCAGCATCATCACTTAACATTATACTAGCTGTGCCAGAATAAACTAACTGATCTGACCTCGTGTTCATCATATCATCTGGTGCCCCGCCAGCGTATACCTACCGTTAGCGCAGGCGGGTGCAACATTCCATTATCTAAATATATATGTATAACTCAAAGGTGACTGGCGTAGTGATCTATCAACGCACAGCCCAAACCACTGGACGGATCGGGCTAAATTTTGCATGCAGGTAGATGTTATGACGTAGGCATCAGCTAAGAAAGGATTTTGTTTAATTCTACCCCCAAGGGGATAAAATAGGGGATGAAAGTTTGTATGAAACTTTGTCAATTTTAAACCGATCGGGCTGAGACTACATGCATAAAGCTACTATGACGTAGGCATCTCCTAAGAAATGATTTTGATAAATTCCACCCCTAAGGGGATAAATTAACGCGAGCGAAGCTGTGGGCAAAAGCTATCTGTAAAAAAACAGGTACCAGTGGCGATGCCGCTCCCGCTCGGGTTCCTTCAAGCGTTGCCGTCGCTGCGACAGGCGCTACAAGATCCGTCGTCGCAGGTCCAGATCGTGACTGTGTTGGTAAGTTAATAATAATAATAATTTATTTATTTATTTATTTGTTTATTTACATCGTACTAAGTGAGCTTTACAGTCTCCCAATATGCCTACTTAGAAAGATAATATACAAATACACACAATTATAAACACTAATTACACAAGAAAACAAAAGAGAAAAAAAAAACAATAATAATAATAATACCTAATCTCCATTTAACATACTAGCTAAATAATCTACTGCCATCCTACGAAACTCCAGCAAATTACAAGTAAATATGTCTAGATCTGGAAAGCGACTAACTACACCGTTGAGTAGACTCAAATAATACACACACACTCACTCTACTGAATTTCTTTTTTTTTTGTGTCTATATGACTAACAATAAATGAAAATCCTGTACATGAACAACTACTAACTCATTAGAACCCCTAGCACACCTAGAGTCTATGTATATTATATATGTATTTATTTATTTCTATTAGTTGTTTAGTATCTACAGTACAAGCTCTGCTTAGTTTGAGACTAGATGGTGCTCTGTGAATTGTTCTAGATTATTTTTACGATTTCAGTAATTTTCTTGTTTATTTTTCACTTTGCCATTCTACAGTTCAATTTACTACTCGCTACATGTTTGTTTTTATTATGAACTACATAGTGCCCACGGTTTCACTCTCATGAAATTTATAATCTGTGTTATTCTGATGTATAAGCTATATTACTGCAAAGTTTCATCAAAATTCGTTGAGTAATTTTTACGTGAAAGATTAACTAACATCCATCTATACTCACTTCTAAACTTTCGCGTTTATAATATTAATAAGATATTGCAGTTTTTTATTTTCTATTTCTTTTCAGATCTTTTATCCAATTTTTGAGAAAAAATTCCAGTCTTTTTGTGTTTTTAAATAATATACAACGTTTTCGTTCAATAATGTGTTTTATTCATAAATTGTATTTGAGACACTAAGGAAGCAAAGTGCAGTACACGATTACGAGGTAAATTCTGATTAAAAAATTATGCCAAGCCGTTTGGTCATTGTTCTGAATTAATTTAAAATATTAAACAAGCTGACGGGCCGGTCATATAACATACTCTTGGACAACTCAGACAACGCCATCTAGTCGACCTCGGTGGTCTAGGGGTTTAGCACACCGCTTTACTTCCAATGTTCACGGGTTCCATTCCTCGCACGGTACAAAGATTTGAATTTATAAGTATAATTGTATCAGTATGGGTGTTTTCTATATATATTATGTATGTATTAAAAATATTTAAGTATTTATATCAGTTATCACAAGCTCTGCTTAGTTTGAGACTAGATGGCGTTGTTGAATTATCCAGAGTTATTATTTTTACCTGATGGTAAAAAGCCGGTTTCTAGAACTACAAACAGCACTAAGGACATCACGTTATCACGTGACACCCATGAAGCTACTCACGCGTTGCCATTCCAGAGTACTAAGATGTGACGCCTCTTACCCTGTAATTTCACTGTCTAATCTGCACCCTATAACCGAAACAGCTTACAAAGCAAGCTGCTTGGCGGCTGAAATAGCTCAGACTGAGGCACACGCGCAGACAACCTTACAAGTCTATGTCAAAGGTAAATAAAATAGAATAGAAAATCATTTAAATAAATTTACAGTGAATAACTTTTGAATAGATCACTTATTTTTTTTAATCTACCGTTCATTCGAAAATCCGATTCATCACAAGAAGAACGAACAAGATATGCTTTTTAAAAAATATTATTTGATGTTAATTTTACAAAATAGACTCTCAACTGCACAGAGTACGTTACAAACATCTTTGGCAACATTTATACTATACTAGCTGTACCCGCGAATCCGCGTGGAATTTAACTTTATTTTTCCAAAATAAAGGTAGCCTAAGTTACTCCTCATTACATCAGATAACTGCCAATAAAATTCCCATCAAAATCGGTCCAGAGACAGAGGTCGATTTCAGAGATTAGCCGGAATAAACAGACAGACAGACAAATATTGTAAAATATGTTATTTTGGTGTATCTACCGTATTTATATTCATATGCATAGTAAAAAACGGTTATTTCAATATTACAAACAGACACTCTAATTTTATTTATATGTATAAATGGTTATATCTGAGACGTAGATTATACCAAAGACTATATATACTACAATTAGAGCCACGTCTGGACCAACCTTAATTGTTAAATGTTTGCGTGTTGCCCTTTTAAATAATTTAATTATAACTGTTATATTTAAGTTGAAATATATAATATAAAAACTAGCAACTAACACTAATTGTGGGTAAGGGTGAAAATGAATGAAATGAAAAATTCTTTATTGTTGTCCACACATAATATAAACAAACATTTACATACAATATTAATATATACATATGTTGTAAACATACAATACTGAGAAAGGAACGAGGCAACAATGGACGGCGTCATTGCTGAAAAGCGATTTCCTCCAGGCAACCTTAGGACGGAGACGAGGCTGTTAAGCTGTGGCGTAGTTAAGTAACCAAGGTCGCTGGGGCAAAAAAAAAGTGGTCCCACTGTCAGCAGTGGCCCTACATTACAGCTTTATTAAAACGCACATACCGCTTTCCTCAAATTGAAAACACTGCCAACACACAGAAAGAATTTAAGGGAATTCTGAAGGTATAACTTTCGAATTTCTCTCAACTGACCATGATTTTAATCATGGTCAGTTGAGAGAAATCGGGTTGCAACCTATCATATATTTTGAAAATGGGAGAAATTTTGAACCTTCAGTTTGTTCGAGATTTTCTGGTAAGGGTTCGAGGGCCCCGGTGCACTGCCCTGCCTAGTTCCTAGGTAGCTACGCCACTGCTGTTAAGGTAATATTCTCTTATGGGGTGAAATCCACGCCTTGCAAACGTTGAATAGACGTCCCGTATGTTTCATATTCCCTTTGATCCTCCAGGATCTTGTTGAGTTCTAGGATTCGCTCCATTTCGTACTGGATAATGGTTGGTTTGTCCTAAACAGGAAAGAAAGAATTTGTAATGATCTCTACATATACATGACACGTCCACATTTAGCTTGGTATATATTAATCACTCCAATACATCAGTGGTAGTTTCTAGCCTACTTATGAGTCATGTTCTCCTGGTACTTTCACTGTAGCATCGGTAATAGTATGATAACTTCACGACTGTTATCTTTGACGGGGTGGTCAGAGTCGTTGTCAACTGTCGATGTTGTGATCACAACTCTTGACATGTCCACATTCCGCTCGGTATATGTGAATTAAAAAAAATGCATCACTTCAATAGATGGCGGTAGCCCGAGCCTACTTGCGAATCATGTTCTCCTGGTACTTTCACTGTAGCATCGGTAATAGTATGATAACTTCACGACTGTTATCTTTCATGGGGTAGTCAGAGTCATTGTCAACTGTCGATGTTGTGAATGTAACACTTGACATGTCCACATTTATCACGGTACATTTGAATTTAAAAAACATGCATCACTCCAATAAATGGCGGTAGTCTCTAGCCTACTTGCGAGTTATGTTGTCCTGGTACTTTCACTGTATATTTGAATAATTTACTCGGTATATTTGAATAAAAAAATGCATCACTCCAATAGATGGCGGTAGGCCTACTTGAGAGTCATGTTCTCCTAGTACCTTAACTGTATATTTGAATAAATTACTCGGCACATTTGAATTAAAAAAAAATGCATGACTCCAATAGATGGCGGTAGTCTCTAGCCTACTTGCGAGTTATGTTGTCCTGATACTTTCACTGTAGCATCGGTTAATTGTGTAATAATTTCACGACTGTTAACTTTGATGGGGTAGTCAGAGTCATTGTCGACTGTCGATGTTGTGAACGCAACACTTTACATGTCCACACTTCAAAAGAACACACCCAGACCGATACAAACATTCATACTCATGAATACAAATATTTGCACAGTGCGAGGAATCGAACCCGCGACCATCGGAAGTAAAGCGTTGTGCTAAACCGCTAGAACACCTGGCCGTCAATATTTACCACTGCTTTCACTTCCGTTTTCGCCGTCGGGTTCTGCTTTGTGAACAGCATGATGACTTTTTCGAATATGAAGTACAGAATCTCCACAAAGCTGATGAAACTTGCACCAAGAAAGAGGCCAGCCGCCCCGCCGAAAGACACTAGAATAAATAATAAACCTGGACAATTCACAAGTTAATCTGACATGGTCATATTGCTTGCTTAATAGGGTTATTTGTCCATATTAATAACAATCCTCTTTCCCCCAGAGGCATGGCTTTTTAATTAACTTACCAATTAGATCCTGAAAGTGGAAAACGATCTCTCGTGTATACCTCGAGCGCGGGGGTTGTATCGTGTACTTCACAGAACCCCGGTCCATGAACTGTCCGCTAGTCCTGTACAGAGAAAGATTTTTTATGGATGATAGTTCAAATTCAAATTAAAAAATCATTTAGGACATTTTAGCCGCTTATGAACGTAAAATTTTTTACATTATAATTTTATTTTTTTCCCCACTGTCCAGTTCGGTATATAGATCCAATTGAGAAGAACTGGCAAGAAACTCAATTGAACTACTTTTTTTTTAAACCCAGTTTATTTACAATGCATATTTATATATGTAGGTGTCTATGTCTAACATTAAATGAAAATCCCGTGCATGAACAACTATTGCCATGCATGCTCGTCATTCAAGTAATCGTTTAGTGAGTAATAGTATTGATAATGGAATGGTTCACTCGCCTTCGAGCCCCACTGATCGATCCCCGTCCAATTCAAACGGGGATCGATATTACCACGGCTTGAGCCGAGGTTCGAACCCTTACCAGTTCCCTCAGAATAAAGTCGTAACCGTCAGGCGGGAGTTGGCCTTCAGCCGCTCCATAAGTCCTTCCTTTGGTTTGGAGTGCCATCTGCACTCGCCCCCTATCGTCCAGTGAAGCTGTAAAGGCCAGCTGCGGCCAACAGCATTAAAATAGTCCGAAAAAAGAAACTCGCCTGCGCTAACGATTTACGCTGGCGGGGTACCAGTGGAGTAGTCGCATTATCCTTACCACAGATAATATAATATTACATATCCTTACTAATATTATAAATCAGAAAGTAACTCTGTCTGTCACGCTAAACTACTAAATCGATTTAAATTAAATTAATTACTCAGAGAGTCTAGAACCTGAGAAAGGACATAGGCCACTTATTAAAGCTGGAAAAGGGTTGTAAGAGGTTGACTGGGAAGACGAAAGTTGTCATTTTTAAAGCTTGAAACTTACTTTTTAGGCTGTTGTTTAAATATAAATGAATATGACAAAGAAAGTATGTAAAAATGATACCCTTAAGGGGCTAAAATAAAATAAGGGATACGGAAAATTCGTCATTTTAAAGCTCCATATAAAAGAGGTTCATCGTACTGATGAACCTCTTTTCTATGGCTTTTTGGGTTAGATTATTAAATATTTTTCAAGGTCACTATTTCACGCGGACGAAGTCGCTGGTACTAGTACACTTTTAAGAAAGGTGTTGCATATGAATGTGGATGGTTATAAGGGCAGAGGAAGTCTGAAAAAGAGATGGATGGACTGTGTGAAAGATGATATGGTAAGAAAGGAAGTAAATAACGCGATGACTGCGAACAGGGATGAATGGAAGCGAAAAACATATTACGATGACCACAAATAAATAGGATAAGGAAGAAGTAGATGATGAAGTCGCTGTTACTGCTAGTATAATATAATTGGTTTGAAAAAAATAGGCAAATTACTAATGCAGGCTTAACGAAAACTGTTGTTATAGAAGTATAGACTTTAACAATAGAACCTTAATGTTCAAACTTATAATTTAAATTAATGATGGTCGAATTTCTACTATTGGGCGATCACTAGTAATAATTATTACCTCTAATGCGTAGAAATTCTTACCAAAGCTGATCACTAGTGAAGAATCCTTACCAAACCTGATCACTAGTGAAGAATTCTTACCAAACCTGATCACTAGTGAAGAATTCTTACCAAAACTGATCACTAGTGAAGATGTCCTTATAAACAGCGTCGAGGCACGGCGCAGTGCAGGAGCACTTGATACCATCATTGTTGACCAGACGGTGGGAGATTGTGGCCAAACACCACATCCCTGACGGTGAGCAATCCGGACCTTCTATTGGAGAGATTCTAATTAAAATGACGGCTTCGTTGATCTAGCGGTTTAATTCACCGGTTTACTTTCGATGGTCGCGGGTTCGATTCCTCGCACCATACAAACATTTGTATTCATCATTATGATTGTTTTTATCGGTATGGGTGTATTCTATGTATAATATATATGCACTAGCTGTGCCCACGGTTTCTCCCACGTTAAATCATTACATAGTATAAACAGCTAGTTATATGTATATAAAAAGAACAACAGAATGACAAATAAAAAAAAAACAATACTAAATAATAATAATAATAAAGTAAAATGCATTTCCCATCCACCACTGCGGGGCATCGTCACGCGTCACCGTGTACTGATGGAATTTCATGGAGAAACTATTTTATAAGTACCTTGTATAGGTACTTATAAAGTAGATGTACCTTCATAAAAATAGTAGAACGGCCGGCACTTGCAGAGCTTTAACGCCAGCTTACTCCTGCACGAGAGACGACAGGAGTTGGTACTATATACCTAGAATCAAGAAAAAGAAATAGTTTTTATTTATGCGTATAATTAGGAAAATCACGGAATCTTATTTTTATTTTTTATTTATAACTCTTTATTACACATTAATGAGAATACCTTAAAAACAAAACAATATACTAGATATAATATTCATAGTGTCTAGGTACAAATGGCGGTCTTATTGCTTAAGCGATTTCTTCCAGACAACCTTTGGGTAGAGGAGAATAGACAGAAGGTGGTGGATGGCGCAAGATGGAATGAATAAACATAAATAATCTAAATATATATAACTCAAAGGTGACTAACATAGTGATCTATCAACGCACAGCCCAAACCACTGGACGGATCGGGATGAAATTTGGCATGCAGGTAGATGTTATGACGTAGGCATCCACTAAGAAAGGATTTTGATTAATTCTACCCCCAAGGCGATAAAATAGGGCATGAAAGTTTGTATGAAACTTTGTTATTTTTAAACCGATTGGGCTGAGACTTTGCATGCTACTATGACGTCGGCATCCCCTAAGAAAGAATTATGATAAATTTCATCCCTAAGGGGATAAATTAACGCGAGCGAAGCCGCGGGCAAAAGCTAGTAATAGTATAATAATACATAATCTTTTTTTTTTTTTCCACTCATTTGGAAAGCAGGGTCAAGAAGAAGAACGGGTAAAAAGTTTACGTGTAACTTTTTTAAATAAATATTGTTAAGAATTACATTTTGGAAATTCTGTGTCAATATAAAATTATTTGGATCAGTTACGACGACCTCGGTGGTCTAGCGGTCTAGTATACCGCTTTACGTCCGGTGGTCGCGGGTTCGATTTCTCGCACGGCACCAACATTTGTATTCATGAGTATGATTGTTTGTATCGGTCTGGGTGTTTTGTATGTATAATATGTATGTATTTACAAAAAAATCTATGTATATGTATCAGTTATCTAGTACCCATAACATAAGCTTTAACTAGCTTAACTTGGGTCTAAATGGCGCTGTGTGAATTGTCCTGAGATTATTATTATTTCTTACTAGCTGTCCAGGCAAACGTTGTTTTGCCTTAAAATAAAAATAAAATTAGGGTTGGACTACCCCTAACATTTAGGGGGATGAAAAATAGGTGTTGGCCGATTCACAGACCTACTCAATACGCTCACAAAATGTCATGAGAATCGGTCAAGTCGTTTCGGAGGAGTATGGGAGCGAAAACTGTGACACGAGAATTTTATATATAAGACGAGAATTTTATATATAAGATTATTACTCATGTACCGCCATTGCCAATTGATTATTTCCACTATATATCTCAGAGTTAGGATGGGTGGAAAAGATTTCTACGAGTAGAGACTAAGGCACATATTTCTTTTTATAACAATGATACATTTTCTTATATATTACAAGTATGAAAAAATTGACAAATGTAAAATTAGGGACAAAATAAATCAGTTCAAATTATTAGAACAAACTAGTTCAGTCATTCCAACATTACCTATATGTAACGTATACACTTGTGTCCATTTTTACGAAAATTATGTGGTCGGTAGGACATTGGCTCCCGCCGTCATAATTTCGATATCTGTTTGAATGGGATGGGCGAATGAAAAAGTCAGGTGCCTTAGTTGAGTGTAATAGGTGTGTTAGGGTCGTTGTACGCACTGACGAGGACGGTGTCGTGTGCTTCTTAGATAGTAAGTTAAGGTTTACTGTGTAGATAATATTACCTTTCTCCCAGTCTGTACCGGTTCATCAGTATACAAGCAGCCACGTCTCTGTGGTGATAGCTCGCGTACTCCCTTCCCGCATCTGGTTTCAGAGACGCTCAGCTCTATGTTCCGATCTAGAGACGGTATAGATAGGGTCGGTGGTACCGATGCGTCCATGACATCGTATGGAGAGTGCGTGAACATCTGTATATGAATATCAATAATATATAATAGTATGGACTTATAGATTTTCTCATGGTTAAAAATGTTAGGACTGATATGCTCCATCCGTCATACTCGTGAACGGGAGCTGCTTGTGTGGCCAGTCCCCACAAGTAGCACCCGTTTAATGTGCTCCCTCTAATATGGTTGAGTGCAATGATGGCTGGCTCATCCGTCATATTTTTGCAATAGCATATGCTGGTGGTCACTCTATTTTCCCAAATTTGAATTTAAAAATGAATCTGTATTATTGTAAACATGTATAACATTAATTTGAAAAGAATACGAGCTGAGTTTCTTTTCAGTTTTTCCCATCTCAAAATTATACCGAACTGACGGTAGATTTGACATATCATAAGAGTCTGTAATAGACCTACGTGAATAAAAATATTTTGAATTTGAGTTTGAAAATTTCCTGGGCCCTTTAACACGGGCCAGCGTCCAGGTGGTGTTTTCACTAGTTTTCCGTACTGTCATAGGTAAGGGATGAAAGTGGGGACAGAAACTAACGGGCTCTAATATAATAATCTATGCTTACAACGGGCATAGGGTAGATTTTGAACATATGTCCATTCCCGTAAAATACTATTGACTTTGTTATACGATACTACCCATTCCTATAAAATACTATTGACTTTGTTAAACGGTACTACCTATTCCCATAAAATACTATTGACTTTGTTAAACGGTACTACCCATTCCCATAAAATACTATTGACTTTGTTAAACGGTACTACCCATTCCCATAAAATACTATTGACTTTGTTATACGATACTACCCATTCCTATAAAATACTATTGACTTTGTTAAACGGTACTACCCATTCCCATAAAATACTATTGACTTTGTTATACGATACTACCCATTCCCATAAAATACTATTGACTTTGTTAAACGGTACTACCCATTCCCATAAAATACTATTGACTTTGTTAAACGGTACTACCCATTCCCATGGGGGGAAAGGAGATTGTTAGTAATGTGGACTCATGACCCCATTACTAGCAATGTACCATGTCAGGTTGACCTCCACGCGGTTCCCCCTGGAAACCATCGTGATAAGTTCGTGGTGAGGTTGTCACGATGGGCTAACTAACCTGACCTCATGTTCATCTTATCATCCCCCACTGGTGCCCCGCCAGCGTAAACCGTTAGCGCGAAGGGTGCACCATTCCATTATCATCCATACCCATTCCCATAAAATACTATTGATTTTGTTAAACAGTATTACTCATTCCCATAAAATACTATTGACTTTGTTAAACGGTACTACCCATTCCCATAAAATACTATTGACTTTGTTAAACGGTACTACCCATTCCCATAAAATACTATTGATTTTGTTAAACAGTATTACTCATTCCCATAAAATACTATTGACTTTGTTAAACAGTATTACTCATTCCCATAAAATACTATTGACTTTGTTAAACAGTATTACTCATTCCCATAAAATACTATTGACTTTGTTAAACGGTACTACCCATTCCCATAAAATACTATTGACTTTGTTAAACGGTACTACCCATTCCCATAAAATCTTATTGACTTTGTTAAACAGTACTACTCAATCCCGTAAAATACCTTTGACTTTTCTAAATGGTACTTAGGTACAGGAAGTTTGTCTTTAAATCTAGTATTAAGGTTAGAGCTCACCAGAGTATCGTTGGTTATTTCGAGGAGCACGTAGCATCTGAGAGAGGAATACTTGCAGGTAAGAGGGAATTGTTTTGTGTCGTTTGTATTTGGTTTTCTGAAAACAAAATATAGATTATTTTTATTCCGACGTGGCAACCAAGCCTAAACATCTGATGGTAAACGGTTACCGTAGCCCATGGACGCCTGAAACACCAGGGGTGTCACGAGCGCTTTGCCAACCCTTGAGAAACCTTAATATATCTTCTTGAAAAAGTAATACATATGAGACAGGGTCTATTAAAATTGAACTATACGTATGTTATTGAAAATGAAACACTGTCACCAAGAAGCATAGTGAAATTTTGTTTAAAGTACATTAAAGGTTTAGCACACTGCTTTATTTCCGATTGTCGCAAGTTCGATTTCTCGCACCGTGCAAAGATTTGTATTCATGAGTATGATTGTTTGTATCGGGCTGGGTGTTTTCTTCTTTCTGGGTTATCAGTTGTCTAGTACCCATAACGAGCTCTACTTTCCTTGGGACTAAATGTCGTTTTGTTTCCAGGTCTATTCATTTTTATTTATATATTATTAAGAGGAGTGTGTGGGCAATAACATTATGGTATTCTTCAGTTCTATCTCTATTCAAATATCTTGAGTCTCACGCAAGCGCGATAGCCGAAACACCGTATTACATGCTTCTAAATGCATCATGACAATTCTACACATAAACTGTATTGTAGAACGCAAGCGTTCTGCTCTACTTAGCTGATTCTATTATTATAGTTAATATAAAGATATTTTTTCGTCATTCTAAAACTTCATTACAATTCCAATGTCTTGTACATTTTTTCAAATTCTTATCCTATCTTACAGCTTCGGACTCACCTATTGCAAGGCTCTGAGACTTTCCCAGAAAGTCTTTGCGAGACACTTACTGGTTGTTTAAAATTTTTTGTTTGTTATGCGAGGCCTCTGCAAAAGCGAGGCCCGGGCGAGTGCCCTATTCGCCACCCCCCACCCACACCCACCAGTCTCTTGGATTGTTCATACGAATGAGCTAAAGATTCTTATGTTTGGTGTGAATCGAGTTTTTCAGTTACATGTATAAAAAAATCAATAACTTACACAATAGCTGTGTCGGCGATAGCTACAGAGTTGGTGACATAACAGACGCCCGATTCAGTCATCGTGGCTGTCCATTTGATGTCCAATCCATGTACCCAGCTTGGTTTTACCAAAAACTCAGGCATCACCTATTAAAAACGCAGCATACGTCACGAGATTTTACTACAATATACTGTTTTAAATTTGCCGCAGATTTACTACTATATACTGTGTTTGACGCAGTCATTATTTATACATATAATTAGAAAACATTATGGGATCTTACCACGTTTTATTTTTATTGAGTTCCCGATAATTCGGCAGATTTCAACCGTCATGATCACGGGTAAAATGAAATATCGGGAACTCAATAAAACGTGGTTAGAACCCGTAGTTGTCACTAATCATATAAAAAATTTACTACTAGTGTCTAAACTAGGCTAAGCCTGTATTATAGACACTACTTCCAGTGACAAATAAGTAAAAAAATACTTATGTAAAATGTTACAATTGTGTTTTACATTTTAGCTTAATACAAGAATAAGTTAAGATTTGCATTGGTATCTGTCTATTCAGAGCTCATAGACAGGCTGTTTGCATTTGTTTAACTATGCTATATATACTATTAAAACAAATATACTAATATAAGTTTTAGTATATGTGGGAAAGAGATGGAAGTATTATGTCGTCTTTTCGCACACTACTGGCGTCATGTGGGCATTAAGCTGCGCACGGCGAGCTAGAATACTGGTGTGTGTTTGAGAGCCAATAATTAGGAAGGTAAACAATATATTTAATAACTAACAGACTAAACTAATTATTTGGTTGTTAATTTTAACTTCATATATATTACTAGAACTTAAACTTACGTCTACAGCGAGCTGATAAAGGTTCACATTGAGACTCTCATCGTCTTTATATGTCTCATATTCGAAGAGATGGAACAGATCTGAATTCGCTACAGTAGTCACAAATTTGCTATAGTATTCATATTTAGCGTCTAATTGGTTGACACCCCAATACTTTGTTATTGTTCGCTCCAGCTTCTTGGGGTCCACTCGATTCTAAACAAGGAAACACCTACTTTACTCGATTCAATTGTAATTTAAATTTGTATAAGATAGCATAAATTTTCAATGTACTTTAGATATTAGCCAATTTCTTATGACTTTAAAGATATAAAGAGTAGATCTACGATCGATTCCCCGTCCGATTTAAATGGGGATCGAAAGTGGCCGATCGATACTTGAGCCGAGATTCGAACCTCTAGCAGTGCCCTCAGACTAAAGTCGTATCCATGAGGCAAGGGTTGGCTTTCAGCCTATCCATATGTTCTGCAGCAGGTTTGTAGTGCCATCTGCAATCTGGCCCTTTCGTTCTGGGACCTGTAAATGCCAGCTGTAGCCAACAGTGTTAGAATAGTTAAGATTTTTCTTTTCTGTATTACAAATACACATCGTGATTGTCTGATGATTTGTCTCCCATCATAAATTGATCTAACGGATACCTACCTTCTGGAAAAAGTAGCTACCAGCTCTCGGTTGTGACCTCGATGAGCCGCACTTAAATAGACGACAATCAACTTCGTTCTGGGGTTCATGAGCCCAACATCTCCACGACAAATAGAAAAAACTAATATGACTTATCGTCAAGATTTGAGAATTCACGCCTCTTTAAAATTCCATGTCAAATTATTGAAATTAATTTTTATTATTATAAAGATATAGATTAAAAAAATTTGGTCATTTCATAATACCTTGCTACATACAGTGATGGCAGGCATATTGAACATCCACGTTCTGAAGTCTTTCTCCAAAGTAACAACCGTTGGGTTCTCGTTGTACCGTTGCCACTGGCCTAACGATACCCCAATTGCACCCCATATCGCAGCCCCCGTCAAGCAGATCCAGAAAACCCTGGAAGCAGAATGTTTAAATTTTAAATTTTGAGGGCCTAGCAGTTTAGCACCGCCTTAGTTCTTATATTCGCGGGTGCAATTCCTCGCACGGTACAAAAACATTTGTAGTCATAAGTATGATTGTTTGAATCGGTCTGGGTGTTTTCTATTTATAATATAAATATATAATATATAAAAAAAAAATGTATTTGTATCAGTTGTCTAGTACCCATAACACAAGCTTTAGCTAGTTTAACTTGGGTCTATATGGCGCTGTGTGAATTGTCCTGAGATTTTGTTCTTGTGTTCGTACATTTCTAACTCCTCAGATCTGTACTAATATTATAAAGAGGTAGTCTTGGATTTATAAATAGGCCATATAGGCCGCGACCTAGGGGCGACAGCGTCGTAGGGGCGGCAGATTTCAGAGGGAGGACGGTCACTCGATTTCAGAGGATAAAAGTCAAACAATTAAATTAGAGAATTTTTTTATTTTAAAAAGCTGGGGCGGCGAAAATAATGTGACACAACACTCACAAAGAATATACATCCGGCACTGTAAGAGGTAATCCTTGTATGTTTGTTTGTTCGAGGTAAACTCCGGTTCTTAATCCGAAACGATGGTAAAAATTCTTTCACTGTTAGAGAGGTATATTAGCCCATAGTGCTATATGCTATATAACGTCACGCTACGATCAGTAAGAGCGGCGCAGCAACGCAAAATGTGGCAAATAATTTTGATTATTTTCGCTGCATAAACTGTTAAAGTTACTCAAAAGATATGTATGACGGAATCTTTCTCTTTTAAAAGTTCTAAAAAAAAGTCCTCGGCAACATATGTCTATCTTTTAAGGTTAACTCACTATAGAAATTTTTATGAAAAGGAAATTTCTTTACAAATAATTTGCGAAAGATGTTTTTATATACATGATTTTAATCCTTATCCAAATAATTAGTGATAATGGTAGCAGAATTAAACAAATTAATACAAATCCATTAAGTATTAGATTATGATGATCATATGACGATGAAGGTGATAGTGAAGAAGGTGATGATGACAACAAGGATAATAAATATTGATGTTTAACTGTGCCTCCAACTTTATCCGCGGAATAGTGACATTGCTAATTATAAAAGGACATAGAAAAACAGTTTTATCATTCGCTTCAAAATGATGAATTGCTATTTAAATTTTAATTGCCTATTTTATTTTACCACTTTAATGGAATTTTTCTAACGAATGTCATATTTAATACAAATCAAGTGCCTTAAAAAATAAGTTTCGAGCTCCTAGCTTTAACAATTATCATACTTCATACCATCTTTCATTTCTTCAACCTCTTGCAACCCTTTTTCGCATTAAAAAGTAGATATATCCTTTCTCAAAGTCTATCTGTGTAATTCAAATTTTATTTAAATCGGTTCGGCAGTTTTGGTGTGAAAGCACGACGGACAGACAGACGGAGTTACTTTGACATTTATAATATTAAGGATGATGTCAACAATGGTGATGGTGACGATGATGAAAATGATGACAACGATGATCATAATGATGATGATGTACTAACCGCTCTGCCCAATGCCTCTGCGGTACAGCGATGTGATTAAATCCATGTATACTGGTATAGAGACAGAAATCTTTTCCATAACCCTTCAAACTTTTCACCATAGACTTTAACAGTCTGTTCCTCGGTTCTTGACGCTGATGAGGACGTACATCCTCGCGGGGGTATTGTGGGTATGGTGGATACATTTCATATCTATTTAGAATAAAAAAAATATCTTAACGACTATCATCATTGACGGGGTAGTCAGAGATATTGTCAACAACAAAATAAAGGGCGGGAAATGAAAAATGGAACTTAACGTAATATGTTTACAGACCAATTAACACGGAATGTTTCTCTTTTAAAAGTTCTAAAAAAAAGTCCTCGGCAACATATGTCTATTTCTGATGTTGTTTTGGCTCCCTTGGTTCTGTAGCGCATCAGAGATGTTTGCAGATAGTTTTCAAGCCATAATGCGCAAAAGAGCTGCATCACTGATGTTTAGAATTCGAGCGCACACAGTATTCTAACAACTATTACTAAAATCACTATTCACCTTTAAAAAACTATAAAAGAATTATCTATGCAAAGTGGTTGTATATATATGTTTAGTGTTTATATTTATTAATATTATTTTATTATATTTTGTTCTTTCTAGTATATGTAATTGGTTTGTATTTATTAGTTGTAATTTTGTTATAATTAATATTTAAAAATAGTGCGCTCTCTCTCGCTCTCTCCCCTTTTATATATATATATATATATATTCCTCGTTTTGGTGCCACTGAAAACCAGCGGTATGTTCACATAGGACATACATTAAAGCTAAGTGAAGCCATATCAGTGCCTATATGTATGTAAAAAGTGATTATTTTATGTTTACTTTTAATTATCTACATGGTAAATGAAGTTTAATTGTATATACATTTTATTTTATCTTTTTTTTCGTTTGCTTGTTTTTTTATATTGTAACATTGTTGAAAAGAACTGATTTTTTTTCTTTTTGTTTCTTTTCTTTTCTTTCTTTTCAAATATGTCAGATTGTCCGCTCCAGAGGCACTGAATATGGTTGCATTGCTGTGTACCCTGCTTCTGGGCGTGACGCGTATATATTATGGTTTTACCAACATAGTTTATTAAATATTTAGCTTATGTATATGTAATAATATAAATAATATATAACTAACACATTATGGATGTAATCCGAATTAAATAAATAAATTTGACCATCCAGTTTACTTCCGATGGTTACGAGTTCGATTCCTCGCGCAATATAAACAGTACAACTACTACAACTACAACTACTGTTTATATTGCGTGAGGATATTCTAGAGTATGTTTGTTAAATGAAAAAAGTTATATTTAACTTCTCTAATATCAGTTATCTAGTACACATAACACAAGCTCTGACGTGCTTGGAACTAGATGGCGCTGTGTGAATTGTCCTGAGTTATTATTATTATATTGTAGGAGTCGGCACTGTCCTTATAAGACGAAATTGAATCTATGTACCTGTAATATATAAAAGACGCACTAAATATCCGGGTATTTGCGAACTAGATGGTGTATTTGCAAATTATAAGACTAAACCACAGAGCAAACAAATATTCACTGTATTATATCTGTCAATATTTAACAAAGCATTACAATAATTGTTATAGAAATACTATACAGTGTATTTAACGTACTAACAAATTGGTCATGCGACGGCACAGATTAATGTTTGTACAGAACACATATTAAGTACTAGCTGTACCCGCGACTTCGCGTGAAATACTGACTTTGATAGTATTAAATATTTAATAAGCTAAATCAACAAATAAAAATGTTCCAAACAAACCCAAAATCGCTAAATAAAAAAATTCAGAGTTCTAGCTTTAAAAATGACGAATTTATATATAAACTTTCGTCCTCTATTTTATTTTAACAGCATCATCATCATCATCGCAGCCCGGAAGACGTCCACTGCTGGGCATAGGCCTCCTCCAAAGATCTCCACGACGATCGGTCCTGCGCTGCTCGCATCCAATGCCTTCCCGCGATCTTGACCAGATCGTCGGTCCACCTAGGTCATATATATTTATATTTAATCCACAGTTTAAAAATAAGTTTCAAGCCTTTAATGACGACGATAGTTTCATACAACCTTTCATCCCATTTCAACCCTTTACAACCCGTTTTTCGCATTAAAAGGTACCATATACCCTTTCTCAGGGTCTTGGCTATTTGCGTACCAAATTTGTGACAGACAGACAGATAGACAGAGTTACTCTCGCATTTTAATGCTAATACTAATGTAAAGAAGAAAATATGACATATCGTAAACTAAATCTATGCAAACAATATAAAGCTGAAGAGTTTGTTTATTTGAACGCGCTAATCTCAGGAACTACTAGTTCGAATTTAAAAATTCTTTTCGTCGTGGATAGTCCATTTGTCGAAGAAGGTTTTAAACTATACTATTACTTTATGTACATTATATTACTTTATGTACACAACTGCAAATGTACCAAAAATGGTTACAGAATGTTGGAGCGAACTGGCTTTCGTGGCACAGGTTCACCTATATCGAAAGCCAGGGCTAACTATATTTAATTGTAGCGTATATTTATAAATAAAGTTTATTATTATTATTATTATAAATAACGTAATATTATTTTTATTTATTTATATAACTTCAATGCACAAAATACCAAGGTAAAAGTACATATGGCGGACTTAACGCTTTACGGCATTTTCTACCAGTCAACCACAGGTTGTGCAGAGAAACTGTACGCAGTGCAAAATGTAAAATATCATTACGCTACAACCAATAGAAGCGAGGAATCAGTGAAAAATGTTACAAAAACGGTAAAAATTATTCATATTTGAGGGCTTCCGTTGCGTGCGCTGAGTACACGGTTCAAGATACCCCACGCGAAGTTTTTTTTTTTTATACCACTTAGGTGGCAAACAAGCATACGGCCCATCTGATGGTAAACGGTTACCGTAGCCTAAGCCGAAGTTGCGGCCACAGCTAGTTAAAATATATAGCTGAATGATTTGTAGTTTGGTTTTACGTTTTGGTCTTAGGAATTACTTAACAGAATTGAATAATTCTATTAGTATTCGATAGGCCATATATCGAGGCTATACGATACGTAACATTACGCTACGGGGGAGAAAGGACCTAAATCTTTGCTGACAATGTACCATATCAGGTTGACCTCCAAGTGGTATCCTGGAAATCATAAATTCTTGGTGAATTTACCACAATGTGCTGACCTAACTTCAAGCTCATCGTATCCTCCACTGGTGCCCTGCCAGCCATTTTAATTACTCTTTTTTTTTTTCGTTTGTTGTTTATATTGTATTTTTAATAATAAAATATTTTTCTTTCTTTCTTTCTTTCTTTCAGCGTAAACCGTTAGCGCAGGGGTTGCATCATTCCATTATCTATTCATCTACACATATAAATAAAATTGGAGTGTCTGTTTGTAATATTGAAATAACCGTTTTTACTACATGCATATGAATATAATGTATGTACCGTATACACCAATATAACATTTTTTACAATTTTTGTCTGTCTGTCTGTCTGTTTGTTCCGGCTAATCTCTAAAACAACTTTGTTATGTGTCTAAGAGATGCTTCGATAACATTTTTTATCTGTATATATAAATAAAATTTGAGTGTCTGTTTGTAATATTGAAATAACCGTTTTTTACTACATGCATTTAACATTTTTTACAATTTTTGTCTGTCTGTTCCGGTTAATCTCTGAAACGGCTGGACCGATTTTGACGGGATTTTTTGGCAGGTAGCTAATATAATAAGGAGTAACTTAGGCTACTTTTATTTTAGAAAATTAAAGTTGAATTCCACGCGGACGGAGTCGCGTGTACAGCTAGTCATCAACAAGAACATCTCGCTACGATCAATAGGAGCAGAGCAGCAATGGAAAAGGTTTTAAAACGGGGAAAATGTGACGCAAACGAGGCTGTCCTTGTTTGGTGGTGAATCATATAAGGAAACGATTGTCATTGAAATTATCTATTTGAGATATACAATGATATAAATAATCATAATCTTGGAAAAATCACATTGCGCTCTATGTACGAGTAGTCTTAAAGTAATCAGAGCTTGTACTATGCATACTAGACAACTAATTATTTGTAACTTATATATAAAACTAGCTGTAGCCTAGACTTCGTCCGCGTGGAATTTAACTTTATTTTTCCAAAATTATTAAAAAAAAAAGTAGCCTAAGTTACTCCTTATTTTATCAATTGACTGCCAAAAAAAGTCGCGTCAATATCGGTCCAGCCATTTCAGACATTAGCCGGAACAAACAGACCGACAGACAGACAGACGAAATTGTGAAAAATGTTATTTTGGTGTATGTACCGTATTTATATTCATATGCATGTAGCAAAAAACGGCTATTTTGCTCTTTAGGGGTGGAATTTATCAAAAGTCTTTCTTAGGGGAGGCCTACGTCATAGCAGCTTTATGCATGCAAAGTCTCAGCCCGATCGATTTAAAATTGACAAAGTTTCATACAAACTTTCATCCCCTATTTTATCCCCTTGGGGGTAGAATTAATCAAAATCCTTTCTTAGCGGATGCCTACGTCATAACATCTACCTGTATGCCAAATTTCAGCCCGATCCGTCCAGTGGTTTGGGCTGTGCGTTGATAGATCACTATGTCAGTCACCTTTGAGTTATATATATTTAGATAACGTTTGCCGGGTCAGCTAATATAAAGTTTATTGTTTTAAGTCTAAATTTCTATTCATTGTCTTTCTTTATCTATGTTTGTCTGTTTATTACCTTCTCATAAATGGTTGAATAGAGCTTAATGAATACAGTAATTACTCTGTGTAATTGTTAACACGATATTCAATATTACGACATGAAAATGCTATTATAAAGTTTCTATTAATTTAGATTAAAAAAGCTTTTAGCTCGTTGCGACCTTGTGGTTTACAAGCGTGATGTAGATTGCAAGATCATGGGTTCAAATCTGGTTGACACCAAAAAACTTTGTTATGTGTCTAAGAGATGCTTCGATAACAGTTTTTGTCTGTATATATAAATAAAATTTGAGTGTCTGTTTGTAATACTGAAATAACCGTTTTTTACTACATGCATATAACATTTTTACAATTTTTGTCTGTCTGTCCGTCTGTTTGTTCCGGCTAATCTCGGGAATGGCTGAACCGATTTTGACGAGACTTTCATTGGCAGGTAGCTGATGTAATAAGGAGTAACTTCGGCTACTTTTATTTTAGAAAAATAAAGTTAAATTCCACGTGTACGATGTCGCGAGTACAACTAGTTATGTAATAAGAATGACAGACAAATCTGACGGCCCACCTGTTGGTAAGTGGTAACCCTCGCCTTAACACTATGGACATCACGTTATCATGTAACACCCGTGATACCAATCAGGTGTTGCTATTAAGGGGACAAAACTGTCATGGCAACCAAACCATCATAAATTAGAAAGACGGCGGTTGGCTCGTAAGTAAATAAATAAATAAATAAAAAAAAAATTCACATATACCGAGCGAAGTGTGGACATGTCAAGAGTTGTGATCACAACAGCGACAGTTGACAATGACTCTGACTACCCTATCAAAGATAACAGTCGTGAAGTTATCATACTATTACCGATACTACAGTGAAAGTACCAGGAGAACATGATTCGCAAGTAGGCTCGGGCTACCGCCATCTATTGGAGTGATGCATTTTTTTTTATTCACATATACCGAGCGGAATGTGCACATGTCAAGAGTTGTGATCACAACATCGACAGTTGACAACGACTCTGACCACCCCGTCAAAGATAACAGTCGTGAAGTTATCATACTATTACCGATGCTACAGTGAAAGTACCAGGAGAACATGATTCGCAAGAGAGAGAGAGAGAGAGAGAGACTATCGTCGTCTATTGGAGTGATTTTTTTTTATTCTAATATACAGTGAAAGTACTAGGACAGCATAACTCGCAAGTAGCCTAGAGACTACCGCCATCTATTGGAGTGATTTTTTTTATTCTAATATACCGAGTAATTTATTCAAATATACAGTGAAAGTACCAGGACAACATAACTTGCAAGTAGCCTAGAGACTACCGCCATCTATTGGAGTGATGCATTTATTTAATTCACATATACCGACTAATTTATTCAAGTATACAGTGAAAGTACCAGGAGAATATGATTCGCAAGTCGGCTAGAGACTACCGCCATCTAGTGATGCATTTTTTCATTCAAATATACCGATTAATTTATTCAAATATACAGTGAAAGAACCAGGAGAACATGACTCGCAAGTAGGCTAGAGACTACCGCCATCTATTGGAGTGATGCATTTATTTATTTGATTATATTTGACCCAAAAAATTAGTGCTTGTTGGTAGTTTGTATTCACACGTTTCGACTTGTAAATGTAAACTTACAAGGATTATTTAAAAGAGCAACACACAAGTTTCTTGCTCGTTCTTCTTGTGATGAGACAGCTTTCCGAACGAGTGGTAGATAAAAAACAAATTGTTATGACTATTCAAAAGTGCTTAAATTAAGTTTATTTGAATAAATGATTTTCTATTCTATTCTATTTCTATTCTATTCTATTCTATTAATTCACATATACCGAGTAATTTATTCAAATATACAGTGAAAGTACCAGGAGAACATGACTCGCAAGTAGGCTAGAGACTACCGCCATCTAGAGATGCATTTATTTAATTCACATATACCGAGTAATTTATACAAATATACAGTGAAAGTACCAGGAGAACATGACTCGCAAGTAGGCTAGAGACTACCGCCATCTATTGGAGTGATGCATTTATTGAATTCACATGTACCGAGTTACTTAGTCAAATATACAGTGAAAGTACCAGGAGAACATGACTCGCAAGTAGGCTAGAGACTACCGCCATCTAGAGATGCATTTATTTAATTCACATATACCGAGTAATTTATACAAATATACAGTGAAAGTACCAGGAGAACATGACTCGCAAGTAGGCTAGAGACTACCGCCATCTATTGGAGTGATGCATTTATTGAATTCACATGTACCGAGTTACTTAGTCAAATATACAGTGAAAGTACCAGGAGAACATGACTCGCAAGTAGGCTAGAGACTACCGCCATCTATTGGAGTGATGCATTTATTGAATTCACATGTACCGAGTTACTTAGTCAAATATACAGTGAAAGTACCAGGAGAACATGACTCGCAAGTAGGCTAGAGACTACCGCCATCTATTGGAGAGTTTTTTTAATTTAGGATAGTAGTCGGGATGAGCAGTAATAAAAAAAAAGTATATATGAATGCGCAGTGTTTTCAGGAATAGCAACCCATAATTACATATATATGTTACTCTTTTTTTTTATTAAGTATTTTATGGCCCTGGAAATTTGCTTTCAGCCCAATATGTTAGTCTAATAGGTACTTTTTTTTGTAGATGATAATAGAATATGGTATGCTCTCCTACGCTAACGGTTTACGCTGGCGGGGCACCAGTGGAGGATGATAAGATGACCATGAGGTTCAGGTCAGTTGGCCCATCGTGAGAAATTCACCAAGAATATATCACGATGGTTTCCAGGGGGAACCGCTCTTAGAAATAAACTGATTAATAAAACTTACTATACGATTGCTGATTTCCTCACTGATACATTGATATAAAGTCAGTTGATTAACAACTATTTGTATGATGACGTAATGCAAATTTTAGGGAATATTTTAATATTTCGAGAATATGATGACGGTCTGCGATGATGATGATGATGATGATCTGATGGTCATCTTGCAACCGTCATTACTTGAGCGTGTTATTTGGATGTATTCCATTTATAATAGGCATAGAATACACCCAGACCGTTACAAACAGTCAGTCAAACTCATGTGTACAAATGTTTGCACCGTGTGAGGCATCGAACCCGCGACCGTCAGAACTACACCGGTATGCTCAATCCATAGACCACCGACCGTAATGTTTCATTGTTTATTCATTACGTTTATAAATAACGATACATCATTAATAGGAAATGGCGAATTGATTCATAATTTCTGGAAATATGTTCAATCATAAAATGTTGGCACTAAAATTGGTATTTATATGTTAGAACGCGGTAAATATTATCTTTTATCGGGTTATCTTTTACCTATACGTAGAGTGATAAGATACAATATCTGGTAACTGGTATCGTGGACTACATAAAGTATAGTCTGAATTTACACCTATTATTGAACACTAGCGTCTATTAACTTCGATCGTAATTGTAAATTTGCATTCGGATATTATAAAACTTGTATGGTGTTTTCTTTGTGAAAAATGGCGTTCAGAAGTTTGTTTTTATGTTTGCTTGTGGCCACATACGCAAGTGCTCAATGTAAGTACAAAATAATCATTTATATGCATATACAATTATTATATAATTAACTAGCTTTTGCCCGCGGCTTCACTCGCGTTAATTTATCCCCTTAGAGGTGGAATTTATCAAAATCCTTTCTCAGGGGATGGCTACGTCATAGTATCTTTATACGTGCAAAGTCTCAGCCCGATCGGTTTAAAATTGACAAAGTTTCATCCCCTATTTTATCCCCTTGGGGGTAGAATTAATCAAAATCCTTTCTTAGCGGATGTCTACGTCGTAACATCTATCTGCATGCCAAATTTCAGCCCGATCCGTCCAGTGGTTTGGGCTGTGCGTTGATAGATCTCTATGTCAGTCACCTTTGAGTTATATATATATATATATATATATATATATATATATATATATATATATAGATTTACGTCCTGGCTTTACAAGGATGCATTAAAATCTTTGTATTTCTCGGCTTGTTCTATATTATAACACGCATGTCACTACAGAGTATAAAACAAAGTCGCTGTCGCTGTCTGTCCGTCCCTATGTATGCTTAAATCTTTAAAACTACGCAACGGATTTTGAAGCGGTTTTTTTAATAGATACACTGATTCATGAGGAAGGTTTATATATGTAATAAATGTACATCCGTGCGAAGCCGGGGTGGGTTATACATTAAAAAATGTATTGATTTATTATAATTAAAGTTAACTATTTTATTTATTTAATTATCTATACATATAAATAAAATTGGAGTGTCTGTTTGTAATATTGAAATAACCGTCTTTTACTACATGCATATGAGTATAAATACGGTACATACACCAAAATAACATTTATTACAATTTTTGTCTGCCTGTCTGTCGGTCTATTTGTTGCGGCTAATCTCTGAAATGGCTGGACCGATTTTGTCGGGACTTTTTTTGGTAGGTAGCTAATGTAATAAGGAGTAACTTAGGCTACTTTTATTTTAGAAAAATAAAGTTAAATTCCACGCGGACGAAGAACAGCTAGTACAATATATAACCAGTATAGGTACTGTTGTTATTGCGGGCGTAACTTAGACATGTCTGATATAAACCTTCCTCTTGAATCACACTATCTATTATTGAAATGTGTAACAAAATTGATTGCGTAATTTAAAAGATATCAGCGAACAGAGAGCGACTGCGACTGTGTTTTATATATACTATGTTGCGCAATTACTTTATGGTTAAGTTCCGCCTTATTTAAAATCACCACGCACCGATGTCAAACCAATGAGATATGTTTTTAACCCTCTAATAAAATGGTACAATTTAATTGAAATATTGATTATATTTCGTAGTAATGGGCGTATCTAACTTTGAGATAGTAATTTAGTTGATAATAATGATTAATTGGTAAAAACAAACTCGGCGTTGAAACTCGTATCCTCAGGCGGGTCCTTCATCTGCTCCGTAAGTCCTAAATTGATAAAACAAATTCCCACTTAAACGCAGCGTTGAAACTCGTATCTGTTTGGCGGGAGTTGGCCTTCAGCCGCTCTGTAAGTCCTTCCTTTAGTTTGGAGTGTCATCTGAACACGCCCGATGAAGTTGTAAAGGCTAACTGCGGCCAACAGCATTAGAGTTGTCCGAAAAAAAAACGTTGAAGCCTAGTAATAAGTCACACAGCGCACTCTAATCCCGTACTAAGCAGAGCTTGTATAACTGATAAAATTACCTAATACTCTTGTAAATATACATATAAAACACCCGGACCGATACAAACTATTGTATTCATGAGTATTCATGTTTGTGCCGTGTGAGAATCGAACTCGACTATCGAAATTGAATCGGTGCACAGTGGGAACTCGCCTAAGAAAGCCATCTCATAAATACTTTTTCTAAAACTCCGTGGATATGCTTGTATAATACCTCAAATTGTAGCCAAAGAGTTACTCTATCATTATAAATATGATTCAAATCTCTGACTATTCACACTTCATAGAATAGAGCCTCTAAAGTCAAGGAATGAAAAAAATACAAAAATAATTTTGAAACTTAAATTTGTTTGGTATAAGTTTATAGTATCAAAACAATATCAAGTCATATAGTGTGATACCATTTTAGAATGCTTAGAATGTGTACTTTACTATAAAATAAAAATATATTTAGTTTAGTCGAATATTATTTAACTAAAAATCCATATATCGTTATATGTACTATTTTCTTTTCTCAGACTTTCACTTGGAGATTTGACAGTTGCCGAAGTTCTAAATTTGTTTTTATTTATTAGGAAATGTAATGTAATTTGATGGCATAATTTTTATTGCAGTTTCACTGCGTAAAATATTTATATCGAGTATAATATCATGGTGAGATTTGTATTTTCTAAATACGTATATTAAAATTTTCTTCTTTATTTGGGATTCTCTGTCTGCATATTAAAAAAAATACTTTTTGCTCAATTATTACTATATATTTTATCTTTTGCCTTACTTTTATCAACTATTTCACACAGTATATAGTTCCCATTCCCATACAGACCTATTCTATACCGCATAATGATAAATATTTTTTATCAAGTAATTTTGCACACGTATATGATCATTATTAAGTATAAAATAGTGTATGTATTTGCATATGAAATATTACAGTTCTTCATAAGCATTTGTTATTACTAAACAATTGTTAATTACTCATCTCGCCCCAATGAGTGAATTCTCGTGTACCAGACGCGACTTAAGTGTCTTATTGATTTAAAGTGATACAAATTATGTTGATTCTATCTCAAACTACGAAATAATTTTACCGAATCTTCAGATGCGAATATAGCAAAAATTATCGCAAGTATTCAGAAGTCCTTCATAACTCAGTTTCGTCAACGCTATACGAAATGTGGTCGAAAGAAAGAACAGTTTTTAAATAAAATAGCAATTGCTATCAATTGCTATTTTATTTAAAAACTGTTCTAGATTTACAGTGAAAATACCATCCTATGATGGTATTTTCACTGTAAATCTAGAAAAAACTACATGCCTACCTGAACCTCCTACTTCGACAGAGAAAAGAGGAAGACCTTCTTTCTCTGTCGAAGTAGGAGAAAACGTACGAAGACAGTTCGGACAAAGAAACGAAAAAACAAGGCTTGCTTGATACCTGTGGAATTCATACTGAACTCATATGTACAGGGTTTAAGGGTTTCATCGTTGATATTTTACGAGCATTGCCGGCAGAAATCTAGAATAAAATTGTAATGTAGGTAATTGTGATTCCTTTTTGTAACTAAATATGTATGTAGATAGATATTGGTGTGACGCTCTCATTAAAATAAGATATCACTGGTTACGGACGTGTTTCATTTATTACAAAAATGAGCAATCTTAATGTACTCATTAAATAAATAAGATTACTATCTTATTAATGAACCGGCACATATAACAGCATATTCAAAACATTAAGCTCTTAGCATTTTCATAAAATTGGATCTGAACAAGGCACAGTACGAAAATATGAGGAGTTGTTTGATAGCAAAGAATTACTTATTGTTTCCATCATACAGATTGATTCGTGAAGCTAAAGAATCGTGCTATCCGCCAAAATTATGTATACAAATTACTAATGTTAAAGCAGAAATCAAATGTATGTACCATTTGCAGTGCAAAACCCACAGAGATGAACAATTTAGAAAAAGTACAAAATAAACCTGTCGATGAAACTTCCTATCAATATGGGCTTTCAACTTTGCATTCGTGGAACTTATTTTACATTTATCTTACAATCAAAATACAAATCAATAAAAATGGCCTGCCACAACAACAGAAAATAAAAATTTAAAAAAGCAAAAGAAGGCTTATGTACCAAGAAGGTTCAGAGAAGAACTTGGATTAAATATAGATAAACCGAAGCAAGTTAGTGGCAACACTAAAGACGGCAATACAGCCACAAGATTTTTCCAAAATTATCATTGCACATCAGAAATTACTAGTATATATGAGGAATTAATAAAAATGTTTTATGTTATGAAATGAAATGTGAACGAGTGATACGTTATTTTTCTGTCTTGCCTTTTGGGCAACTTTCAGAAGATGCTCAAGAGTCACGGAAAAAAGACTATAAAGAGTTCAGGCTTCATCATGCAAGACAATGTTCGAGGGTAGCCTCTAACAAAGATGTTCTATACGCATTTTTATACACCTCTGACCCATACATAACAAGTTTAAGAAAACCTTCCAATTAAAAATATTTAGTACTTTTTGATGAAGCAAAGGAGCTCTTGAGTGACTTGTCTACAAGTCTACAAATTCTATATTTCTTGTATTCCTAAATTATTTATAACTATTAGAAATATTTTTTTACTCACAAAGCATACATTATTTAAAAGTATATATATTTAAGATTATCAGGAAAAAAAATCATGTACATATCTTTGTTAATACAGAAGTTATAGATTTATGAGATGAAAATGAGTCAAAGTTCCCACTGTGCGGTGGGTTAAACTGCTACACTACCGAGGCCCACAATGGTTTTTTACTAGAACTAGCTTTTGCCCGCGGCTTCGCTCGCGTTAATTTATCCCCTTAGGGGTGGAATTTATCAAAATCCTTTCTTAGGGGATGATTACGTCATAGTAGATTTATGCATGCAAAGTCTCAGCCCGATTGGTTTAAAATTGACAAAGTTTCATACAAACTTTCATTCCCTATTTTATCCCCTTGGGGGTAGAATAATCAAGATCCTTTCTTAGCTTAGCTCTTAGTCATAACATCTACCTGCTTGCCAAATTTCAGCCCGATCCGTCCAGTGGTTTGGGCTGTTGTTGTTAATTAAGCTATAATAATGTAATGGTACCTGTGCTAACAGTTTACGCTGGCAGGGCACCAGTGGAAGATGATAAGATGAGCATGAGGTCAGGCTAGTTAGCTCATCGCGGTAAATTCACCATGAATTTATGACTAGGACCACGCTTAGGTCAACCTGACATGGTACATTGCTAGCAATAGGGTTATTAGGCACCAGATGAGGATAGCGGGTGACTAATCTTAGGATTAGAAAGCA